TTGACTGTGAATATCTAGATGTGCTCATACTCAATTCAACAGTATTTTATACTAAGTATTGTTTTATTGTATGGATTGATGTGAGGTTGCAAAAGTGGATCCCCATCGATTTGCCGCTTGGTACTTGGTAGATGACCTGACTTTTGTGTAAGCAAGTTTTTGGTGCAGGAGCAGGGGCGCAGTATCTACAAATGACCTAACCTTCTTCTCAGGATTAATGCGGCATATTCTATTTCTTTTGGTGCTCATATTAATACTTGGAAGAGGGAAGATAAAATGAAGATGCATATGTAAGTTATCCAAACTTGTCAAGTCTCCATTCTCAAATGATGTGATTTTTCTATTGTGTTTTAGCATGCTTAAAAGAAAAAGAAAAATAATAATTTTATGAAAAGATTTAGTGTCACGTGTGACGTTTTGAAGTGTCGCAGATTTCGTTTTTTGTCGCTTACAAATCAACTTTTTACTAAACGGGTGCGTCCGTTCTACCCATTCACAACACAAAATTAACTTTTTAGCAAAAAAAGAAAACACAAAATTAACTTAGGTTGATCCGAACAACCATGTATGATCTGAAACCTTACCGTGATGGAAGATTATCGTCATTATTACTGAAGAATTGAACCCCACGTGCCCGACGTTGAAATCTCCGTGTCGGTGGATCAAAAAGTCAAAGATTGTTTGTTAGGGGCCGTGGCGTGTATGTATCATATTGACTAGTGTTTAATTTTTTACTTAGTTGATGTAGTTGGAGAGTTCTATTATAAAATAATGATTTATTCAAAACTATGATTAAAATCTAACTCATGTAATAAATATAACATTTTTTTTTTGTTGCGATAGAAAGATTTCTTGGTTATAAATTATATCTTTTTAATCTTCTCTTCGACTCATTTTATTCTCAGCTATTAATCAAGTGAATTTAACTATATATTTGAAAAAAATAAATAAATGAAAATGGCAGCCGCTATTTCCATAGTGGTCACCTCTACCGTCACGGCACGATCATCCCTCGTCTCCCTCGGATCCGATCTGCTGCATCTGCATCTCTGCTCCATCGTCGCATCGCCGCCTCGGCCCTTGACCACCGCTCCTCCTCGCCCCTAGCTCCGAGCCCGTGCCATTGCAACCTCGGCTCTAGAGCTCATTCAAAGCCCTAATCTAATTAGGGGCATTTGTGGGCTCGTACCGATGCCCATTTGAGATCATGGCCATTGCCAAGCAAAAGACAGAGAGTGCAATTAGCGAGAGATATAGAGGGGAGAGCGAGAGAGAGAGAGAGCGGGCTGACAGAGAGAAAGAGGAGCGCGCATAAGGGCAAGGGAAAGAAAAGTGAAGAGCGGTGGTGGTCTTTGCGCAATGGCCAATGATGGTTTCATTGGAGGCGGCATCGACGGCAAGTGAATTTTCTCTTATGCACTTCTTTGCCGACCTTCGTCGAGAAAAACAGAACTTCAAGTTACAGTAAAAGCATCATCTTAATGAGAGAGGGAGACCGAAATCCCGTCTCGAGAGGATAAAAGGAGACTAGTGAAAAGGTTGAATTTTTAATTTGAAGAGTGTTTTGGTCGACTATTTACAAAGGGTTGATTTTAAATTGCGTAGAAATAGCGGTTGCCAATCAAAATATACGAGAGATAAATTCACTGAGGAGCACTTTTGTAAGGGAGTTAGATCTGGAGTGAATAAAACAACAAGACGAGAACAAGTTATGCTTGATATTAGGGCAAAAGTCATAAAAATTCCTAAATTGTGCCTACTGTGACACATTTATTATAAACCTTTTTTGATGACACAAAAATCCCAAACTTGTGTCAGTACGACATATTTACCCTTCGCTAAAGTTTTGTCAATGAGAACCGTTAAAAATCTGCCTACATTGCAGCGAGAAAGCAAACGATATTGACATGGCACTCACGTGGCTTTAAGTGAAATAAAAACGACATTGATTTTGGCTGAAAAGTTATCTAACGGAACCTTGACGAAAGATAAATATGTCACATAAATACAAGTTTAGGGTATTTTTATAAATTATGGCAAATGTGCCACAGTAGACATTATTTGGGGTTTTTTGTGGCTTTTTCCCTATTATTTATCATTTATGTTTTATAATTATATTATATCAATAAAATTTAAATCAAGTTAATTTTTTTCTAATATTACCGCCTATTTAATTATATAAGTAGTATATTTTTAAATTTATTTTATTCTCATCTTTAAATAAAGTGAGTTTCGCTTCATATAATAGTCTCGAAAAAAAGAATAACATGCAACCAACATATGATGAATCTCACTTGACAAATAAATGAGCATAAATTAGCTTGCTGTCCTTTAATTAGTCACAAAGGCATATTCTAACTCCTTGGCTATAAAAAGAAGTAATTATCATAGCCTTTCTATAATATTTCTATGCTATTAATGTTTTTGGTATCTCAATCCAGTGGCTATATTTTCCATATATGGGCAATATATTTTATCTTATGTTTCTGGTAATTCCACTAATATCATAGTGAGTTTCCATATATAGCGCTTCAAAGGTGGAATTTGGATTTTACAGGCGGTGGACCGTCGTAGAATAAATAAAAAATACATAGTAAAAGATACTCATTATCATTTTCGATAGAGTTGTGGCTCACTTCACAATCCTTTTATGACCCGCTTAATATTCTCGATAATCTTTGAATTTGAATGAATTTTATTTGTCATTCTCTCAAAGTTAATTCACCTCCTAGCTAGGGTATTCCGGCACAAGGGGCTAGACAGGTCCATCCATAATAATTTTCGAATTTTGAGACTTTAGACTAAAGTTACTGCTTTCATGGTCCTATGTATGATTTTTGTTTGGTCAATCGCAGTGAATTCATATCATTCATTCAAAATACGTAGGAGGATTGAAACTCAAGGTCGTATTCACTTTGAAATATCCGATTATAAAATTCACGTCATCGGATACAGCTAGAGCGTGCATACACTATTGAAGATATGAAATTTCAACAACATATCGCATCTCCGAATTACGTTTAGAAAAGGCCACCTCAAAATATCTTCTCCCTTTTAAAAAATCCTTCCCAAGACTTACTCCCGACCTTCTAAATTACGCTTCAAAACCAATTAGCGTCGGAAATTACTCGGAAACAAGGACCATCGAGTCCTCAATCATCTCGGATTAAAAATTTCGAAAATTGATCGCTAATGTTGCAACTGTCTCTCAACTATGAAGGAAAATCATGTCCATGCATAGAACCGATACATGAAACAAAACCGCTTCACTGAATTTAATTTCTGGAGGGAGGCGCAAGCCGTGAGGATGTAAAGCGGCTTTTCCCCCAGATCGCGAGCATTTAAAAACGACATAATGGGTGCGTAATGTCCCTAAGCAAAATGATGAAGGGCGTTATGATCGATTTAGCACGAGGGCAAGGGCAGGAGAGGGGTCAATTTGGCTATTATTATAATGGAAGGTCAGTGACCCATTTCGCCATGCCATTAAAGCAAGCCGTGGAGATGTTGCAGTTCCGCAAGTTACCTCGCGCGACCTTAAGACCAATCGAACGTCGATTGTCAAAGGCGACAAAGCCATTTGGAGGTAGATCGTCCCCATAAGGCAACCACTAATGCAAAATCTCATAGAGAGGCAGAGAGAGGGAGGACCTGAGCATGTTCTTCATAGGGCTTCATCCGAACTTTTGGGATGCTTAGTTCGGAAGGGAATTCCCTCCTTTATGGGAAAACGAATGAAAGGGTGTGGCCACCGGAACGCAAAACATGTCATGTAGCTGAGAACTCCGAAAGGAGGAGTTTTACTGGGCACCTCCGAGAGCAATGGACTCTGCAGCTATGACCGATTTAGCACTAGGGCAAGAGAGGGTCAAATTCGCGATTATCATAATGGAAGGTCAATGACCCATTTCACCATGCCACTAAAGGTGTTGTAGTTGCACAAGTTACCTCGCGCGAGGTTAGACCAATCGAACGTCGATTGTCAAAGGGGACAAAGTCATTTGGAGGAAGATCCTCCCCATAAGGCAACTACTAATGCAAAATCTCAGAGAGAGAGAGAGAGAGAGAGAGAGAGGGAGGCATGTGACACGTGGCACGGATACTGGCCCCACAGGATCACAGGCAGAATGTGACTCCCTACTAACCCCCCCCCCCCCCCCTCCCTCAAATTACATTGGTGTACCCAAATGGGGACATGCGCGTCCAAATCCTCCCTTGTCCAAAGCTTTGTTTTGATTAATAATGGCTTAATATAATGATAATCCCGGGCTTGGAGATTAGGGCAGGAAAAACTGAATTTTTAAAGTAAGATAGAGATAGAGAGAGAGAGAGAGAGAGGGGAAGAAGGGAAAGGGGGAAGGGGCAAGGGCAAGGAAGGGAATTGAGATGGCGAGAGATTTTAGAGGGGCAGTGGGTACCCCGCCTCCCTCCTCCATCAAACATAATTCTTGTCCAAACCCCAAACAAACAAACAAACAAACAAAAGAAAAGTGGCTTTAAAATGGAGGGGCCAACCCGCCCTCCATGAGGTTTAGCCATTAAGCGAGGATTAGTGCGAATGATTCGGATAAGAGTAGTGGAGAAGGAAAAAGAGAAAAAGAGAAATTCCCCTAATTAGTATCCCATAGGGTTGATGTGCCCATATCAGCTAATATAGATTGATTATCATCATTATTGCAATTTTATTTAGCTAACTATTCTAAAGAAAACCCTAACATCCTTGGGAAGAAGTCAAAAGACGGGGGAAAGAAAATGTAACCCATCTTATCTGAATTACATGGCTCCAAGGTTTGAAGTGGCTTGGTCAAACGAAAGTGATGAGCTGGAGAATTGGTGGACCGATTTAAATGCCAATATATTCCTCTCATGGGAAAGTGACCTTTTCTTATATTAAGTGCATTTTTTCCCTTCTCCCTTTCTCCGTTGTAAGTTTTTTCTTTCCCGTGGCCAATGGGAAGGAGGGAGGGGAGGGCAGAGAAGATGCTGCTGAACGGGGGGGTCTGCGGGGGATGTGCCCTTGGAAAAGAGATCTTGGTGGTGTTCTAAAACAGAGGAGATCTCGCTTGTTTAGAAGGGAAAAGCTCGGCCAATTAATGGCGACATTGAAAGTCCATGACCCCTCCATTGAAATCATGGCAGATTAAGCAGAGAGGGAGAGGAGCGCCCTTATTAAGCCTCGAAGGGTCAAGTTGCACTAGAATCTCCCCCACCCCCTAAAGGTAAAAAACAGAGAGAGAGAGAGAGAGAGAGAGAGAGAGATTAAGGAACAGAGGACGCCACCCACTGACAAGATTAAGTCCCAAAACCCACCATAATCTCTCTCTCTCTCTCTCTCTTCCTCTGTTTCTATCTCTCTGTCTCGCCCATTTGTCTACGCCGTTACGGAGGCCCGTGGAACGCCGTTATCCACCTCAGCAGCGTCAGCCCGCGCGCCGTTCGACGCCCCCACCCCACCTCCCCTGTTTCCCGCCGCCGCCGCCGCCGCCATGGCCGCGGAGCAACTGAGCCTGGGGCCGGCCGACGCGGCCAACGGCGCCGAGTGCCGGGCGGCGTCGGCGGGGGACGGCGGGGACGACGGCGGCGGCGGCGGAGGGGGGGGGAGGGCGCCGAGGCTGCCGCGGTGGACGAGGCAGGAGATCCTGGTACTGATACAGGGGAAGAGGGTGGCGGAGACGCGGGTCCGGAGGGGGCGGGTCGGCGGGTCGGCGTTCGGGGCGGGGCAGTTGGAGCCGAAGTGGGCGTCGGTGTCGTCGTACTGCAAGCGGCACGGGGTGAACCGGGGGCCGGTCCAGTGCCGGAAGCGGTGGAGCAACCTTGCCGGCGATTACAAGAAGATCAAGGAGTGGGAGGCCAGGACCAGGGACGAGACGGAGTCGTTCTGGGTCATGAGGAACGACCTCCGGCGGGAGAGGAAGTTGCCCGGGTTCTTCGACAGGGAGGTCTACGATATCCTCGACCACCAGGGGTCGTCCTCGTCGGCGGCTGCGGCGGCGGCGGTGGCGGAGCCTCCTCCGGAGGCGGAACTGGCCCTCGCTCTGGCCCCGGCTTCCGCGGCGGCGGCGGACGACGAGGAGGCGGAGGAGGAGAGGGACGTGGTGTTCGATAGCGGCCGGAGCGCCGCCGCAGAGGACGGGCTATTTTCGGATTTTGAGCAGGACGACGGGGGCGGGGGCGGGGGCGGCGAAACCCCCGAGAAGGAGGTGGAGACACCGGTCCGGATGCCCGATGCGGCGCCGGCGGCCGCGGTGCCAATCTCAGGTAATTGGAGTTGAATGATTCATAATTCAGATTATTCTTTCTTTGCTGTCTATGCTCTATGATCTTGCTGGTTTCAAAGGGGGCTGAACGAATTGTTTTTCATCTCTCTGTGTTTCGTGGGTATTCTGATTTTGAAATGTTCGAGTGGAGTGCATGGCTGGGTTTAGTTTTCTCTCTCTCTCTCTCTCTCTTGGGGTGACAGAGTTCCATTGATTGGAGGGCTTTCGCGAGCTAAAAATTAAAACTTGGAAATCGAGTGTTATAGTCGAAGATGGGGGGGGTGCAAGTTTGAATGGAATTCTGTTTCGTCGTTAAGAGACGGAAATTGAGATTAGATGTGATGAAAGTGTCTGTGTTTTAGGACCAGTCTCTTGCTGTTGGAACTTCTTTTCCAGAAACCATTTTCTTGTCCATTTGTCTTTCCTTATCCTTCTCGTCCTCTTGCCCATTGGATTGAATTTTATCACTTTGATTATGGAGCGATTGACCTTGGCATTCATATCTTTTGCATTTGCCTTAGCACCAGAATCTGAATCACAGGGGTCTTATTTCATCGTCTGTTTCTTGGTTTTCTGATATCGTCTCTGTTTTCGCCATGAAATTTGTGATTGCAGAGAAGCAGTACGAGCCAGTCCTCCTCCGAGGAACTCTAGGGCCAGGTACTGCTGTTTCTTTCTATCCCCCCAGATCTCTCTGGTCGATACCAACACATGCGGCATATTCAGATCTTCCATCCGATTTCCTCTGCTTTTCCTCTTTCACGATCAATTACACATATTCCTCCGTCGGAAGTTCCAATAGAATCTGTTGCTTTCCATTTGGTAGCGTTGAATTATCTTCTTTGAACCTTGACTTTTTCGTTTCACCCGATTGAGTCTCAAGATGGGATGATTCCTCACCTCAATTTCACTTCTCGGACAGACGACTACGACGACGACGATGATCTGTCCATTTTTTTTTAATTTCTAATCTGTTTAAAGGCGCATTGCATTTTTAACATGATTACATATGTTATTGACGTTAGCATGTCATCATCCTAGACATGCGGTATATGCTACTGGAACACGGTTTCCGCGACCATGAGCCCTCGAGCCTCCTGAGCCTTGTGAATTCTCCCGTGCGCTTGTTTTTTTCTCCAGGACCCGTTGTTCCTCTGTTGACTGATACATCATAGTACGCGCGTGAATTCATCGCCGTTTGCTTGTCATCTTGGGTTTGGAAATTGACCTGGTAATATATGCAGAAAGGATATATATGATGCAACTGAGAACATTCCATGACGTTAACTGGTTTGAATTTTGAACCAAGTGATTGAGAAAATCACGCGACTAGGAAACTCCAGCATCTCGATACCTCGGAAATTACTTAAAAGCTCCTCCGACTGCTCGCGGATTTGAATTTAAAGTAGAACATCCTCGTCATTTAGCCAAAGCTGAACTGACCGTTTTCTTGTCGTTGCAGCGTGATATCTCGCTAAACTTCTGGGTAGACAAATCACGTCATTGTGGAAATTTGAGTTTTACTATGATTGTACTACCTTTCCGTTTTAGACTCTTATTTTGCTCTCCAGGTGCAGGACACGAGAAACATCCGCCGCCGTCGAATCCGGAGATAGGCTCGACGTCCGCGGACGCGCGGAAGCGGAAACGACCGATATCAGAAGCCGACGAGGAGCCCGTCGGGATGCAGTACCGCCTGATCGACGTCCTGGAGAGAAATGGCAAGTTGCTAACGGCCCAACTCGAGGCACAGAACAACAATCTGCAGCTGGACAGAGACCAGAGGCAAGACCACGCCAACGGTTTGCTCGCCGTCCTCAACAAGCTCGCCGACGCCATGGGAAGGATCGCCGACAAGTTATAGCAGAAGGGTCGGGGATCGGCGCGCTCGGTTGGGTGTACATAGGGAGCAGTTGTTCTCTGAGTGAGAGTCTTTGGGAGCTCGTTAGGAGAAGGATCAAAAGGAAGGGATGGGTAGCGATTGAATCTAGCGATAGGTAGTGATTATTTACCTGAATTCTCATGCTTTCTTATTCATCAAAACTTGTTCTTTTTCTTTTCTTTTTCTATATATCTGCGTATAGGGCAATGGCATGCAGTTTTTGACACACTATTGTTACGTCCTTTTCCACAGAGATGATGATAATAATAATAATAATGAATAGGGGGAGATTAGCAAATTTCAAGATGGGTTTTGCGTTTTCTGCATCTTTTTTAATGTTGTTTGACCTTGTACAGTACATGGGACGGACACACACGTGTAAGAAGATGTATTGTTACTCCTCTGTTGTGATCTTTCTAATTGATGATGGCTTTTTTCGTGATACTTATGATCTTTCCTTTTCTTGGCAAAGCGTGGTTCTAATTAGGACAAGCTTTAGTGTTTTGACACTCTCAGCTAACGGTCAATTTGCGTCAGAGATCCCAACTAGAATTTCATGGCAGCACGTCTCTCTCTCTCTCAAAAATGTAAAAACACGGAGATATTATATTTTAGGGATAATGACATAAATGATTCATAAATTTAGGTTCGATACGTAATGTGATTTCTGAACTTTTATTTTGTTCAATGTGGTTCATGAATTTTAGCCTAATGTTCAATATGGTTCTTGGACTTTTTATACATTTTCAACGTGATCCTTGAATTATATGAAAATGGTAAATGTTGTCCTTTCATTAATTTAAGATTAGGGATAATATTGAACATTTTTTAGGGAAAAATATCAGAAAAGTCATAAATCTATTACATTTGTGTCAATTTAGTATTTCCAGCTAATTTTGCCCAAATATTGCTGACGTGGACGTCAGCCGGCCTACGTGGCACTGACGTTGACTATTTTTAATAATATTTTTTCAAATTTATTTTTTCTTTCTTCCTCCTTTTGCTGATGACCGGCCATCGTCCATGGCCGAGCGGGCTGGCCTCGCCTGGGCAAGGGTCGCCGTCGACCGCAACAAGCGAGGCCCAACCAGGTGAGGGCAAGTCCGACGAGAGTCAACCTCGCCAGATCTGGCCTAGGCAAGGAGAGCCCTCATTGAGCTCGCCCTCGCCTAGCCGGGCCTCACTTGTGGCGGTCGACGGCAACCCTCGTCTAGGCGAGGCCAACCCGCCGAGCCATGGCCAATGGCCAGTCATCAGCAAAAGGAGGAAAAAATAGAAAAAGAAATAAATAATTTAAAAAATAAATAATTATTAAAATATTATTAAAAATTATCCACATCAATGTAGATGGTGCCACGTAAGCAAACTGACGTCCACGTCAGCAATATCTGATCAAAATTAACCGGAAGGACTGAATTGCACTTTGTCAAAAGGTTTAGGACTAAATTGGCACGAAAAAAAGGTTTAGGCTCAAATTGGCAATAGGTTTAGGACATTTCTGACACTTTTCCAACATTTTTATATAGTACATGGACTAAATTGAACATGCATTAAAAGTTCAGGGACTACATTGAACAAATTAAATGTTCGGGGACCATATTGCACATTGAACTAAAGCTTAAGGACCACATTGAACAAATTAAAAGTTCATGGGCCACATTACATATTAAACCAAAGTTCAAAAATCAATTGTTTCATTTTCCCTATAATTTAAGTTCTTGGTTTTATAGGATTTTTTCCTTTAAGGAACCCACGCAATTTTTTGTTTAGGGCAACTTAAAATAAGCTCTTCAATCAAATTCCTTGAGTAGGAGTTTGTATGTTTCTACTGAAAATTTCCAAAAAAGTCATAAACTTATTGCACTTGTATTCAGTCATAAACCTTTCAATTGTCCGATTTAATCATTCTGACCAATTTTAACCAAACAATTGCTGCGGTGGATACCTACCATCTTACGTGGTACGACCAACACTAACGTTAACAATTTTTATAATTTTTTAAAGAATTTATGAATTTTTTTATAACTTTTCTCGTTTTCTTTTCTTCTTTTTTTTATTTTTGTTTCTTTATTTTCCTTTTGTTTTTCTTCTAAGCTCGGCGAGGGTCATGGCTCTCACCTAGTGGATGTCATAGCAAGGGCCAAGACCCTCGCTCGCGATCGGCGAGGGCATCGTGACCCTTGCCTACTTGTCAACGACTCTCGCCTAGGGTTGGCAAGGGTCGACTAGCCCTTGCTCGTGGCCGGTGAGAGTCAGGGTCAACTAGCAACTCTCGCCGAACTTCGTAGAGAAAAGGAAAAGAGAAAAATAATATAAAAAATAATAAAAATTATCCATATCAACGCCGACCGTCCTGCATATCACTGCCGCACATCAACGATTTCCGGCCGAAAAGACTAAATTGGCAAATCGCAAGATTTAGGATTAGATTGGTTAAATTAAAAAGTTTAAGACGAATTGGCATACATGCAATAGATTTATGACGTTTTTGGTAATTTTTATTCCAAGGTTGTACCCGTTGATACAATGCTCTTTTGGAGGTTTTTATTTTTTTCTCTTTTGAAGTTGTCTAGCCTCCCTTTGACAGGGAAAACAAATCCTTCCGTGCATCCTTACCCTTCTTGCCAATTCCTGTAAAAGGACTTGATATTTAAATTGACGATGTGGCTACGATTATTTCTATTAGCAAAAGGAACAAATTTTTAATTTCACGTCGATAAATCCATCTAAAAGAAACTTCGCCATATATCTGAAAGGTTATTTTAATATGGTGTGTTTGCAAAATGTTATTTAATAATTGACAAAGGAGAACTTTAAAGATTCTTGCATTCCAATGTAAATATCTTAATTATAGAGGGTCAATCTGAACTCCAGAGAGTTCAGGTGTGTATGAACATGAAGACAAAGAAGATGAGCATGCGTTTGTTTCCAGAAAAATTAATAATTTAAAAAATATATATTTTTTAAATGATCGATTGTATCTTTTATAAAAAATAATTTACAAAATGTATTTTTATTGTCAACGAAAATATTTAGATATAAATTATCATCGATAATTAAAAAAATTCATTGGCTAATTATATCAAATAATACAAGTGATTAGTTTTATGAAAATTATTTACAAATCATTTATTTTTTGCCAAAAAATTGGAGCCTAAGCTATCGTTACGAACTTCATCAAATGCTGGGCTTGAGAAAGGTTAGCCAGTAGAATGAGACACGTGGATGGACCAGATCGAGCAGGCGAGCTCACGGTCAGGATCAGATTGAAGCCACCTTTTTTCTTTTTCTTTTGGTCGAAGAAGTCACATTGGTTGACTAACAAATATTCACTGGATTTTTCTTCATTTAGAATTAGACAAATTGATTTGGTTCATCCTTTATAATCACGATAAGATGAGTACTTTATTCTTCTTCTTCTTTTCGCCAAATTGAAACGTACATTATAGAAGATGCCGTGACTCGTTTTGTCCAACCCAACCGATGGGGATTGGACCTATAAGCATAATGTCATCAACGTAATTCATTTTAGTTTGGGCAAAATTATCCAAAGAGTTATAAATTTATTGTATTTTTGCCAATTCAGTTCTAAACCTTTCAATTTTGTCAATTGAGTTATGAATCTTTTTACTTATTACCAATTGAGTCTATTCGGTCAATTTTGACCGGAAATTGTTAACGCGGCACGACTGACGTTGATGTTGACATTTTTAATAATTTTATGGTTTTTTTTCTCATTTCGTTGCTTTTTTTTTTTTTTTTCGTTTTCGGAGTTAGGGTCGACAAAGGTGGCCGGCCGACCCTTGCTGGCCAAAGTGAGGGCGCGCGGGTCGATGAGGGCGTTATGGCCCTTGCAGGAATTGGGAGAGTGCTTGCGCACCCTCGCCCGCCGACCCTAACTCCAAACCCCCCCCCCCCCCCCAAAAAAAACAAAGAAAAGAAAAAAAAACCATAAAAATTCAAAAGAAATATAAAAATATTATTTAAAAATGTCAATATCAGCGTCAGCCATGCTATGTAGGACGGTCGGCGTCAAAGTCAGCAATTTCTGGTAAGCGTAACGCCATCAACATAATTCATTTCAATTTGTCATGGATAAATTGAAAAGGTCCAAATCGAGTCTTGAATCTCTCCGTTTTCTTCTTCTCCGGCAAGATTTCGAACTCGATTCTATTCAGGATCTTGCACTCTAAGCTCGTGTTTGGGGATCACACTCGTGGCCTTGTATTTTCGGATACTCGACCTTCCAAAGTTTCAGTGAAGTTGCTCAATCAGCGACACTCATTCACGTCGCATTCAGAAATCAGTCATTGGTCGCACGATCTATGCACTCAACAATCATATTAAAACCCCATTCTAATATTGAATCGACTAGCAAATTCGCCATCCCCGTGGAATTCACTAACAAGATGGATCGATCGAGGTACGCGAGAATCGCCCGGGGCCAGCGTCCGATCTCAAAAGGCAATGAAAGGTTCGGAAAAAAGATGGGATGCGATCAATCATTCGAAAGCGGTGGCGCAACTGCCAGATTGTTCATTAATGCAATTTTGGGCTTTTGCAAAAGCAGCAAAATTTGCATATGATGGGTAACTATCTACTCGTGCCGGCCTTCTTTTATCCCTTTCGCGCGTCCCGAAGCAAATTGTAATCGCGGATTAATCTATAAAAAAAAAGCTAGAAAAATAAAGGAAAGAGATCAAAAACGAGACGGAAAAAGGTTTAAAAGCAGTAGGGACGGTGTAAAAAGAAATTATTCGGTCGGGAAATTTATAAAAAAGAAGAAGAAGAAGAAGAAGAAGTGGAAAACTGATATTAATTAATGCCTAATCTACCCCCATGATGAGACCACTCCCCCTCCGTAATTAGCACGAATTCCTGCTGTCTTGCTCCGCATCGACGGTGCAGATATCACACACGGAACCCATCCGACGGCTCAGATTTCGCCACCCTCCTCACTCTCTCTCTCTGTCTGTGTCTTTTCTCACCCCTCCTCGGGGACAGCGAACTGACTGAAGCTTGCGCGACTACCGACGTGGCGCCGGTCCCACCAAAGGGGAAAGCGCCGGTGGGTCCCGCGCGGGGAGGGCGGGAAAAAAAAGGAAAAGAAAGGAAAGGGAAAAAACAAAAAAAAAATTAATACCACAAAAAATCTTAAATTTATACACCCTTATAAATTCATGCTTTATCAGTATCCGTTAAATTTTATTGTCAAATTACAGAATTAAATGACACGTGACGGATATATCAGTTTGAGATTTTATCCTCCGTTTGTCACCGATGTATGAATTTGCGATTTTTTTTTCATTAATCTAATTTAACAGAAAATAAATTTGTTACGAGTGTATCAATTTCAGACTTTTTAATTTAGGGTAAATTTATTACGGACGTACCGATTTGAAATTTTTGATGATATCATCACGATAAGAAGAGAGTCCGGTGGTTTGTTTTTTTTTTGTGCGTTACACGGGTCAGTCCAATGATGGACCAGACAAGACCGGGACGAAGGCCACCACCCCCCATAACATTACAAAAACACACAGCGCAAATTTTCCTTCTTTTCTATGTTTGCTGTTCTTGGTCTCCGCAGTTTCACTGGGGTTTTTCCTTTATCTCCGTTGTCGTTCTGCTTCTTCCTTCGCGGCGGCGAGCTCCCCCCTTCGTTTCCTCCTTCCTTCCTTCCTTCTTCTTCCTTGCCCCCCTCGTTCCGAACCCTGTGAAGCTGAAACGTATCGTTCGTTTTTTCCTCGGGCGGGGTGACGTCTCGGAGGAGTGTTTTGGTGGAGAGAACGGACTCGTTCCCATTTTTACCAAACCCCATGGCTTGAATCCGAAGTAGTGCGAATTTGGTGAGGACTTTCTTGGGTCGCAGCGGGAGGGTGAGAAAGATAAAAGAAAGGAGAAGATTCGCGGCGAATCCCACCTGCGCGACACTGTGCATTGCGCGAACCTCGTCCCTCCGTACGTGCGGAGTGTGGATTCCCGTTTCCGGTTGGGTGGAGGAAGGGGAGGAATCGATTCTCTGCGCCTTGCTCTTGAAGACGTTGAGGCCGTGCTTTAAGGCGAGGAAGCACTCGGAAGCTTCTCTCTCTCTCACTGGTTCTTGGTGCTCTTTTTTGGCTATTAAAGAAACTGGAGTCTCAGAAGCGTTTCTGAGGTGTCGACAGTTGCTCGGTCCACTCTCGGCCTGTTCAAGAACGTAAAAGTTTGGTCTTTCGGAGCTCTTCGGGCTATTATGTTGGTTTGAACTCTTTCTGAAGTCCGTCGTTTCACATGTTTTTGTATTTTTCGGAAAGCTCCATTGTATTCTGGTGTGGATGGTGCCTGTTGCTTTCGTTTCTTTCTCGGAGGATGGGCAATGAAAGTCTCGTGTTCATGGGTCTGCGAAACTGAAGCATGGAACGCGCTTTAGCACTTTGTCCTTTTTTGCCAGTTTCAGACACAAATGAGCAAGTGTTGAGCAAGCAAAGACGGTTGTTGGTCTAAAGTTTTTGTTTTTTTCTTTTTTACCCGTCTGCAAAAATGGCTTTGAATTGTGTGGTTCCTCTGGAAAGCAGAAGAGCCGTGAGCTTGTTGTTGCTTCTGATGCTTTGCTTACAGAGTTCAACTGTGGAGTGCCAAAACAGGACGTTCAGGCACTTATCGACTGAGCCTCCATCTTCATCTAAAGCACCTGAGTTCAAGACTGGGTTTAGGAGAGTAATCCTCAGTGTCGTGTTGGGAGTGTTGACTGGATTAATCTCAGCCCTTCTCGTGGCTTGCCTGGTTAAATCCTTTATTCTGTACATCCACAGAACCCCAATCCTCAAAGGGCCGGTTGTGTTTTCCCCAAAAGTCTCACCCAAAACCCTCCAGACGGCCCTCGAGAACGAAAGCCAGTTGCTCGGATCTAGTCCGAATGGGCAGTATCATAGGACCGCCCTCGATAATGGGCTTGTAATCGCGGTCAAGCGGCTTGAGCAGGTTGAGGGCGATTCGCCGGGGATGCAAAGCAAATTGGCCAAGAGACGGATCCAGAAGGAGCTGGAAGTCCTAGCGGGGTTGAGGCACGTGAATTTGATGAGCTTGAGGGCTTACGTTTGCGAGCCAAATGGTTTGTCGCTCATTTATGATTATGTGCCGAAAGGAAGCCTCAAGGACCTGATGAAGAGGGTTCGGGAGGATCAGCTGCAGCTCAAGTGGGAAGCTAGGCTCGGGATTGCTGTTGGGGTGATTAAAGCGCTTCAGTATCTTCACTCTGCGTGCAGCCCTCAGGTCCTGCACTGCGACCTGAAGCCTGCGAATGTGTTGTTGGATGCCGAGTTTAGTCCGAGGCTGGCGGACTGTGGATTGGCGAGGCTCGTGCCGAGTTTGCATCGGACGTCCGAATATAGCGCTCCGGAGTGCTTGCGGGATTCCAGGTATTATGGGCAGTGTAGGCTGAAAATTACTGAAATTGGGGGCTGTGTTTTCAAGCTCTGTTGTGTTGGGATGTCAGTTTTTGGACAAGGAAAAAAAGATCTTGTGTGCTCTATATAGGTTATCGGTTCCATTTGGTTTGAAAGATTGAACTTTTTGTTCCGAGTAACAAGTGAGAAATTCTCTGTTTAATTGAATGTCATCACAATGGCGACTCTCATTTACATTCACATACTAACATGAAAAGCAATTGGCAATATATGGTGTTCTTTGACCCAGCGGCACTGTGTCATGGTTTGAATCATTTTTTTTTGGTTATTTCTGTTTTTGAGACTGTTAGTGGTACTCTTCGATGGTGTTGCATAAAATCCTTTCGTCGACATTGAGATTGTCTTCTACCAATGCCTGTAATCTTCTGGCGGCCCCTTTATAGAATTCGGGGCACTAGGGATTTCGATGTGATTATCATAATTGAAACTGTTCTTCTTCTCGTGTAGGTACACAGACAAGAGCGACATTTTCAGCTTCGGCATGATACTGGGGGTTCTCTTGACAGGTAGAGACCCCACGGACCCATTCTTCAGTGAAGCGGCCAGCCGAGGAAGCCTGGGGCGCTGGCTCCGCCAGTTGCAACAGGCTGGGGAGGCGAGAGAAGCTCTGGATAAGAGCCTTCTCGGGGAAGAAGCGGAGGAGGATGATATGCTGATGGCGGTTAGGATTGCTGTCATTTGCCTCTCCGACTTCCCTGCCGATAGGCCTTCTAGCGACGAGCTCGTCCCAATGCTGACCCAACTGCACAGCTTTTGACTTCGAAAAAAAAGAAAATTAATGGAAAATGTAAGTATCAGATTTTTGGTTTCCTTGGAGCTTGACAAAATTGAAAGACATGAAAAATCTGCTTGCCCTTTGGATAAATGGCTTGAGGTTCATGTTGAGTTATACTCTTAATTAACTAAAACAGAGCTGATGATATTTTTGTTCTATCCTTATGGGATGTGTTCTTTTTCTGGTATTTTGGTTTAGTAGTTCACTGTATGTGATGTTCTGATCGTTGTCTGTGCTACTGGTGGTCAACTCTTGTTACTTCTCCGGGCTTCTCTAATTCTTTAATTGAGATTTCAACGAAATGTCTATATATAATTTTTCCATATTTTGGCATTCTACGTCAACTTTGTCATATAGCTTTGGTTAGTATCCTATCTTACCCACTTCTGTACCTGTGCCTTTAGAAGAAACAGCATGTGGAAAATGAGATTACAGGTGCTGTGATTTTGACTGGACTGATGTCAGCAGGCATTGACTTTTTGACATTTTTTGTGAACCAATCTGGCACTTAAGTCTCGGTTTTGTTGTTTATTGATGGGGCTTCTCCTTGTCTCTGGGTTCATAACTTCAGACCCATTTGCTCAGGGGTCAAAGCTTTAGCCCAACAGAAAGAGAAATATCTGCATGGAACCTGCAAATTGATCCCTGTGAACGAGTTTCTCAGACCCTAATGGCAAAGTATATTGTTCATTTCGGGGTCGTCTCACGAGTTATAAGAGCGTTTCGGCTTTCATCGCTGTCGATGCTGTCGATGTACTGGTCATGTGGCCGTGAAAGGTAATCCATCACGAAGGAGGGATGTAACGAGCTTTTTTCTCAAATGTACCCAGCAGTGGACATCATCCTAATTCCTGGAAGCGTGAGACGTGCTTTCTGGGAGATGCCCAATTATGCAAGTTTTGCTGGGGTTTTGGGTGTTTGTCCTGGTAGGAAAGTTCAAAAGCAATTAATGTGGTATTTGTCCTTCCTAAAGCGAAGGACAAAAGTCATCCTCATGAGTTGTATAGTTGCTTAGAAAGGGAGGGTGGGGTTAAAGCGAAGAAGAAGCATTATTGTCCCGTGAAGGTCTCGAGACCTTCACCCACATGTCCCCCTGAAAGACCCGGCCTTTGTTCCTGAGACGTTGAAAAGAGAGGCATCCGAAGCAAAAGAGCTCGACGAAAAAAGCGTTCGGTCAGTCATCTTCCGGCAGCCCTTTTCACCGGAAGACATGATAGCTGATAGCCGGTCTCTCGCTATACGTGCTTCAAGATCGTGGTTTGAGCCTTCGATTATCCAAATGATGTGCTCGAGCTGTCTTTGCTATACATCTCCGCATTTCGCACCATGGCACCAAGACCGCCGTGATTCAAAACGCGAAAAGAGCAAGAAGTATTCCGGGCTAGATGAACAATCCTTTTGCACCAATTTGCTCGATCAATACTTTTTGGGAAGCCTTGTAGGGGCCTCAAGAATGGACCTTGAGATGGCCAATGCTTCTTGTCGTTACAATCCCCATCCAACTCAGCACGGGCCTTCAAGTCGCGAGACACTTTAAATGCCGTACTTTCGACCAAGCGAGCCGAGGAAGAGTTACGGAGCGTAAAAAATTAGTTCACAAAATTGAAGAGATAAATCTGAAGAAAAATACCTAATAGCCTCTCCAGTTCTGTCATTAGACTTCAGATCGTAAGTTGGTACAAAATCCAAATTGGGGGTTCTTAAATTGATGATGGGTTGCTCACACTCTAGAAAGAACCTGCAGAAGTGAAAACAGGGCCTTTCTATAGCGAAGTGAAAATAACTCGACAGCCCCGCGGCGCCACGCACCGTCGTGTCACTCGTCGCTCCATTCGCCGGAGAATCAATGCCGAGAGATTTGTGAAGGAATAGCTCGCGTTTACACCGCCGGACCGCGACCATTTCAATCGGTTTTCTGGGTTAAAAACCGAAGAAAGAGTTATATTAATTGACCCGGGCCAGGCCGGCACGGGGTCAAAGACTCGTGCGTAAAGGAAGTGTTTCAAACCTTGAGCAATCCAAAGCCCAGAGCAATTTCTCTTCCTCCTCCGAGTTTTTTCTACGTCCGAAACATTTAAAACCATCACAATATTTAAATGTCGACATATAACTTCACATATAAACTTTTCATAATTTGTCGAGTTTGAATGATATTATTCATTTTGGCGGGAAATTAAAAAAAATCGCGTTTTTACTTTTCTTGGATCATCAAACGACGGGGCGATCAATATGAAACCGGGAAAATCACGAGAGACGCTCACACGACACTGCTCACGTGATCGAATGTCTTCGACGAGTTCAATTACAGACGAGTGCAACTGTGAACCTCTCGTCGATATTTTGTGGTGAAGAAGAAGATACGAGTTCTTACACATAAGAGATCCGCATATGTCTTTGTTTAGTAATTTAAGTTTTTTCATCCAAACGTTATTTTTAGGGATAATGACACAAATGGTCAATGAACTCTGGTCCAATGTGCAATGTGGTCCTTGAACTTTTAATTTGTTCGGTGTGGTCCCTAAACTTTAGCTCAATATGCAATGTGGTATCCGAACTTTTAATTTGTTCAATGTGGTCTGTGAACTTTTAGGACATATTCAATTTAGTCCATGAACTATATGAAAATATCCGATGTAGTCCATTATCCCATGTTTTTATTACATCAGTTACCATCCAAACGGTATTTTCATATGAAAAATTTATTTTTTTTTGCTTTTCAAAACAGAGAAATTCGTGCTTTTAAACGTAACCAATGCGTTTCAGATGTCAAACCTAGTCATTTCGGCACTAAATCAAACGCTAAACATTCGCAATCTTTTGTGTCGACAAAAAGAAGGAAAAATGCGATGAATTGAACGGCTCTTATTTTCTCTTGGCCATGGTTTTGGCGTTGAGTGATTTGTATAAGTAAAAACTTAGCAGCCCATGTTTTCGACTGTATGAAACTAGGTAGCGCCCGAAACACGTTTCCATGATTTGGTAAGTGAATCCGGTTCGGGATTGCTCGGCCTACCTCTTAACCTTTTCTAGTGGACCCAGTACGGGCCCTCGCTGCCGTGACACGTGATGACCCGCCGTCGCATCATGTCCTCGCGACCGTTCACCGGCCCTAGATGCACGCGGCATGCCGCTCTTTGCGATCGACTCGTGTCCCCGCCCATGCACGGCGACCTATTAATAGTGACTTTCTTCGCTCGGATTGCCACATGAAAAAAACACGTCTCATTGTAAATTTCCCTCTTGACTCTTTCTCTGATCATTTTAATTATTCCCAAATTTACCGGAATGCCCCCCACAATGATCGAGTCCAAGGTCGACCGGCATGTCCTCGGGAGGCTACAAGGATAATGACGTGACGAATCGATCAAAATAGATAAAACACATGCAATGGTTGGGTGGGTGGTTCCCACCATGGAATCCAAAATTGCCCACTAAGGATCGATTTTGAAAAATTGGAACCGGAAACCGCCTATTAATTCCATGAAACTAACCCCACCAAGCTTCAGGCAAATGGAGGTGATTGAGAGCGAGAGAGGCAAGTGATGAACGGTTGGAGGTGTCGCCGTAAGTTGATAGGAGTTGAGAGGGCTTATGGGCATTGACCTTGAGAGTCGAGATCACGAGTGAGAGATAGAGAGACGACTCAGACAAAGTGAGAAAGACAAAACTCAGTTGATGGACGTTGAGTTTCAGATTATGGATTTTTAAGTTTTCATTTTTCTTTAATTTTTTTTGTTGGGTTGGAAATTTTTCTTTTATATATATATATATATATATATATATATATATATATATATATATCACTGGTCCGGTCTTGATGGGCGGTTCCATGCCTAGAACCTGGAACTGGGGAATCGGACCGGTATTCATCGGTTCTAGTAAATTAGAACCGGGAATCAAACTTGTTCCTACGGGAATCAGACTTGTTCCTATGGGAATCGATGGTTCCGGGTCAGTCCGATCCGATTCCGGACGGTTTCCAGTTGTTTTGCATACCCCTATCGAAAGTAGAGAAATAACGGAATCTAAGGATCGGATCGGTACAATGTTAGCCTCAATGACAATTTAACAAGCTTGAACGGAATTTTGTGCATTGACACTTACATGGATGGTGACGGATCGAATAATTCTTAAGAAATCAGTGCCTCTTATGGGATTGTTAATACGCATGAAAATAATGGAGAAACCTCGAATATCCGTCGAACCGAGTACTAAAATTCGAACAACTCGAGCGAAACCAAAACTAGTCGACATCGATTCCTCGCCCAATCGGGCTCGAGTCGAGTCCCGCGTGACCCCGAGCCGTCGCAGTCCGTCTCGCACGGCGCACTCAAGCACGCGAAACGCACCATCCCCGACACGTCATCCCCGTACCTCCCCCTCCCGCCACTCAAAGTCACGCAACGCCGTTAATTTTCGCGGGTATCCAGGCTTTTCTATTTTTCTTTTTTACATTTTTTTTTTACTACCCGATCCAGCGGGCGGCGATAATGTCACCCGCTCCTGACCCCGTTCCCCAGCACATCCGGGGCCACCTGATTGGCTGTCGCTTCCCGTCGGGGCAAGAGGTGAGGTTATCAAGTCCCCCTTTTCGCAAAAAAAAAATATTATTTTTTTTACTCCGTCCAGACGATCCTGCCTGGTAATAACAGGACAAAAATCCTCTTCCCAGAACCGGAGCAGCTTTCCGTCCGGGGTGGACAAACGGCCGTGACGTGTCCGCCAATGGGAAGCCGACACGTTCCCCCATCCCGGGCCTAACGGCGTCGGGTGGGACCGGTGCAAAAAAATATCCCCCCCCGTTTGCCGGTTAACTAGCGGACAAACAGCGCAGCGGGCCGGGGGGGGGGGGGGGGAGGCGTCGTACGGTAACCGGCGCCCCCGGTGTCCCAACCGTGACAAATTGTAGTTGCTGAAAAAAAATAAAGCCGAATTAAAATCCGAGAAGCTCTTTTATTTTCTTTTTCTTTTCAATTACGCTTTCTCTTTCCCCCAAAGAATTTCCTAAAAAAACAATCGGTACACCATTCTCTACACACGCGCCATGCGTGCGCAGAATTCCAACTTAATTTTCAAATAAATCGTCGGCCATATTAAATATCAGCGCCGAATGATCTTCTGAAATATCTAACGGCATAAAATATCTACTTACATAAAAAAAAGTAGGAAAGATTATTTTTACCCGTGGTTTTTTAATCATTGTAATTTTTCCTAATTGACCCCGAGGGATCACCACGCGAAGGGACAAAGGGGAGGGGGGGCCAACAGCACCAAAATAGTAAATGGCTGCTCTCCCTCGCGGGAGGTTGTACTGTACTACTGTGCGTGCGTGGGGTATGGGGGGCGGGGTGGGGGGAATGGCGCCTCGGTAAAATCCACGTGGTCCTCATCGGCGCACTCGCCAATTTTCCTCTCTCCATCTCCGTCCTCATGGTCGCGGGAGGAAGAAAGATCAGTGACGCGACCGGACCAGCGGGAACGAGGGAAGGGAGGAAGGAGGAGGAAGGAGCTGATTGCTTTGCGATGTAGCTTGCTCGCGATGATCCTGAAAGCCGCCCCCAGCGGTTGATCCTTAGCCTGTTCTAGCTGCTGCTGTTGCTGTTGCTGTTGCTGTTGCTGCGGTGATTGGTGGTTCTTCTTCTTCTTCTTCTTCTTCTGCTAGTTTCTGTGGCGGAGGTAGCTCGTCGGCTCGTCTTGCTGTTCCTCCTCCTCCGCCCCTGATTGGGGGGTTTGCGGGAGTTCCCGGCGTCGTTCGTGTGCACCGATCGGGCGGAGGCGCTTCGGATTCGGCGCGGGATATGGCTGCTCGCGAGGTCTCGGCCGCGGGGAGCGACCGGAGGGAGAGGAAGAGTGAGTGGAATTCGGTGAAATCGTGGCGAAATCTCCGGGTTTATGTGGAGGATTTCGGGATTGTGGTTTCTGATTGTTGGTTTTTTTTTTGTTGGCTTTGGCTTCGGCTCCGACTGACTATTGTGGGGTGGGTGTGGGTGTGGGTGTCGGCTTCTTCTTTTTGTGTAGGCTGCGAGGATGCGTTGTACAAGGAGCTGTGGCACGCTTGCGCCGGCCCTCTGGTGACGGTTCCTCGCGAGGGGGACCTGGTTTATTACTTCCCGCAGGGGCATATTGAGCAGGTGAGCTTGTTTGTCGAATTCGTTTCTCGGATACTTTCGAATCGAAGCACATGGTCGGAGTTAGAGGCGCTTTTTCGTCTAGTTTGCTCGGCCTTTTCTGAGGTGGTTGTGCAGTGGTGATTGTAGTCGAGGAGGGAAGTGGTGGGGTTTGGTTTAGAAGGACTTTGGTTGATCGTGTCGTAATTCTCGGTGCAGATTGAGGCATCGATGAATCAAGTCGCCGATCGGCAAATGCCGGCTTACAATCTTCCCTCGAAGATTCTGTGCCGTGTCATAAATGTTCAATTGAGGGTACTCCTCGCTTAAACCCATCCTGTATGCTTTGCTCATTTTGTAACTTCTTGAAGTGTTGAGTTTCCCAAAATGGTGGGGTGGCATTTCCACTGCAGGCTGAACCAGACACTGATGAGCTGTTTGCTCAAGTGACTTTGCTCCCGGAGCCTAAGGTATGTTCTAAATTTTAACTGGAAGAATGTTACGTTGCGGGGCATATGCTTTGATTCGTGATGCGACTGTTTTGTTGTGTATCTGCAATGCTAGCAAGATGAGACTGCTGTGGAGAAGGAAACTGGGCCTCCCCCACCTCCACGACCCCGTGTCCATTCCTTTTGTAAGACACTTACAGCCTCTGATACGAGCACTCATGGTGGGTTCTCTGTATTGAGACGTCATGCAGATGAATGCCTACCCCCATTGGTAAGATTTTGTTTTGTCTGCTGTATCTGCTCGAATGAATCGGTATGTGGGGTTTGTAATATCTCAAATATTCTCCCTTCGATATTGAGCAGGATATGTCTAAGCAACCTCCAACTCAGGAATTGGTGGCCAAGGATTTGCATGGAAATGAGTGGCGTTTCCGCCACATTTTTCGAGGTAATAACCTTGTTATTCGATCTATGTGCATCCTGATGTTCTGCCCTGGTGATATTTACGCATTCATGGGGGTCCTCCCTTAGTTTCAAGCATTAACATTCTCAAGTTAAAGATCATTCCAATGTGCCATTGTTGTTGCTTATTGACCCGCTCACTTATTTTATCTGGTTTCTCAAACACAATACACGTCTGATTCCCTGGAAAATCGAATAATGAAGTGGCTCTTTTCTTTTCCGTGAAAGAGCAGTCTTAGTCTTCATTTCTCAGTGGAGGATGTAGTTATGAGAAAGAGAGGGTAACCTGCTGGGCCGATAGCATCCTTTTGCATTTCGCATCTTTGTCTCAATACTTAAGTTACTGATCATCCTAGTGTGCTGTTGCTTATTGAATGCTCAACTCATCAAGCCTGTATAATTTCCTTAGAAAATTATATTATGAAGTGGCTCTTTTCTTTTCCACAAGGATTCTCGATAAAACTGAAAATAAGTACCAAAAATCTAAGCATTGAATTGAAGTGCTGACAAATTTAAGGGCCGAAAATAGAAATAAAAAAAGGTTGTTTGAAGATTATCGAATATTCATTACTGATTATTGTTTATTTCTTACCAGACAAGGAGTTATATCCTTACCGGTTGAATTTGGCAATGCAATTATTATTATTCTAATTACTATCAATTTCTTTTTCTATCGAACGAATTAAGTAACTCATTCCTTACTTATTGTATAAAGTACATTTATTCCTAAATTGAGCTCTTTAAATGGATGCTAATTAGTATAGTCAAACGTTCTTAATCTCATTTGGTGCTAATAGTTTTTGGCTCTCAACGGGTCATAAAGCAGGTTCCCAGTCTTTGTTTCTTAGTGGAGGATACAGACGTCAGTAAAAAAAAAAAAGAGATAACCACCTGGCCCGATGGTATGCTTTTGCATGTATGGGTAATGACAGTTGAATCTCTCTGTGAGTGCTCAAGTTACAAATCATCCTATTGTGCTGTTAGTGTTGCTTGTTGAACTACTTGCTTCCTCTATTTGGTTTCTTTAACTCATTCTGCATGCATGATGGACGGGAAAAGTGCCTTTACCACAAAATATCAAGTTTTGACGAAGTCATTCATGTATTTAGGAGAAAAAACATTGTATGTTTGCAAGTTAATGGATGTTAACTTCTAACTGCTGATGACTTTGCCCATTTGCTGCCATCTGTAGACATTATACCTTCTAGCTTCATAGATGTCTCCAATTTCCTGGGAGCGATCCAGTTTTAGTTTTGTTAATGGTGTCCTTTTTTATGTCATCTGATTGCATTGGGGGGGGATAAAATACTGAGAATTGCCGTCTTACTCCAGTCTTTTTGTGTGCTGATATCACATTGACAATTATGGGTGAAGGCTGTACATTTGCGCGATGATTGTTATTTTTCAACTCATTTACTTATTCAAGAGCAATATATGGATCCGGATGGACAGGTCAACCAAGGCGACACCTACTCCAAAGTGGTTGGTCACTGTTTGTCAGCTCTAAAAAGCTTGTCGCTGGTGATGCTTTTATATTTCTCAGGTACACTAGTTCTCTGTTCATATGCTTTTAAGTTATACAAATTGGATGGTAACTCCCCAGTTGATTGTTATACTGCATGAAAAGGCTAAGTTTAGAATGGAAGTTCTGCACGAGTGTAATGCTCATAACATTCTGCTGCACCTAGCTGCTGAAACCATGTAAACCACTACCTAGAATGCCTACTAATTGCAAAATGGAGCATCCAAAAACTAGACTGATCTCAGTTGGTTGATATTGTGAGTGCTCCTGTTTATTCCTTCTGAAATTCCTTATGCAGAGGTGAAAATGGTGAACTTCGTGTTGGAGTTAGAGGAGCGATGAGGCAACTGAACAATGTTCCATCTTCGATTATGCCAAGTCACAGTATGCATATCGGTGTCCTTGCAACAGCATGGCATGCCATTTCAACTGGTACAATGTTCACTGTGTATTACAAACCGAGGTGCGTGGTTCTGCTCTTGCAAACTCTTTTCATGAGAGAGAGAGAAAGAGAGTGCCACAAAAGTCTTTGCATTTGGATTCCTTGTATTTATATAATTGCTTGTTTGTTTCCCATTACACACCCGTTTATATTTTTGGTCTTTCATCAAGGCATGCATGTCGGTACTTTCAACTATTTAGTAGTTGGAACCCAAGTGCCTGTATTGTGAACGGTATAGCGAGGATAAAGCTCTCTTTCTCTCTCTGTTAGACGTTTTAGGGCCATCCTCAATTCCTCAACTAGTGGAGTTGAGTTAATTTGTAGCATGCTTCTAATGCTATTGGAGTTATTCATATATGATATGCACAGGACTAGCCCTGCTGAATTCATCATTCCTCTTGATAAATACACTGAATCTACCAAAATCGATTGCTCCATCGGCATGAGGTTCAGAATGACATTTGAAGGTGAAGAAGCTCCAGAGCAGAGGTTAGAACTTTCTCACTTGCAAATTGCCATTGCAGTGAAATTAGACTATGTAACTAGGCAGAAAAGTGTGTCAGTCAACTGATTTACGTCTTTGGCCTAAAAAAGAAAAAAAGAAAAAAAAACCTGATTATGTCTTGCCTTAATGAACTAGGTTCTCCGGCACTGTAATTGGATCTGAGGATGTTGATCCTCCGAGGTGGCCTGGATCAAAATGGAGATGCCTTAAGGTAGTAACAAGAGCATTGTAGTGCGTGCATTATGTGGACCTCTCTAATTTGTCAATACTCTATTCTGTTTGTTCAGGTGCGGTGGGATGAAATCACTTCCATTCACCGCCCGGACAGAGTTTCTCCCTGGAACATAGAGCCTGCCATGACTGCACCAGATAACCTGCCAGCATCCCGGCCGAAAAGGCCTCGAGCAAGCATGTCAACATCTAATGATTCTTCTGTACGGATGAGGGAAGGTATGACATAACGAATTCTCGAGCTTCTGGAATCTAATTGGGAGTTTTTCTTTTTGACATGTTATACTGAGTATCCCATTCATACGTTCAGGTCCTTTGGGAATCAGTACAGACCCTCCAGCAGATATAGGGTTTTCAAAGGCCTTGCAAGGTCAAGAATTTTCAGCCTTGAAGGGCAGCTTAGCACTAAATAATGACATGGAGAATGCTGAGATGCCACATGCATGGTGTGAATTTCCAGCTGATAACCCAAAGAGCATGCATTTTGGCCAGAGGAAATGTAGACCAAACACTTGGATGGCTCCAACGATGCAGGAAGCAACACTTATTGATCTGGTGTCAGATTCCGGGTCTTTTCACCACCGCCGTGGATTCTTCTCATCCTTTTTTCGCCGGGACAGTGAAATTAGCAACCAAGTTAAGAAGCAAAATTCAACGGAGGAAACGAAAACTGATTTGCTTCCTTCTCCAGGATCTGTGAGGCAAGGTCCCTCACTGAACATGCTGGGATCTGGAATTGTAGCTTCTCTAGAAATTGAGAGTCGACAACAGCAGTGTCTCAGTAATGTTAAAGGCGACACAAGAAGGGACATGCATTCGGGAAATTTTTTCTTTCCTATGCTTTCTCCGTCATTTGTTGAGGATCCAAATCATATCATGGTTGGAAAATCAGATTTTCCATTTGCCCAACAAGAGTTGATAAAATCTAATGGAAATGGCAATTGTAAGCTTTTTGGGATTTCCCTCACGAGTGGTCCTGTGGCAACAGAATTGGATAATGGGCATGGCTCACAAAAACAAGTCCTACAATCAAATCCGGCGGATGATTCGGAACCTAATGTACTTGTGAGTCCGATCAAGTGTTCAAAGATTGCACCTAATACAATTGCATATGGTGAACAGGGAAGGGCATTTCCATCTTCAGAGCAACCAGTTAGAGATGTAGAGGGCAAGCACCAGGCTGCTTCTACCAGAAGTTGCATCAAGGTTCTTCTCTCTTCCATCAAGTTTTTGATATGTCAGTTCTTTCGATTTGAAATACTTTCTCTACAGATGATATTAGAGTAACTTGGATACCCACATTAATTGGGTCGCCTACTGGTTGTCTAGGTTCACAAGCAAGGCATTCCCGTAGGTAGATCCGTGGACTTGAGCAAGTACCATGGTTACAGTGAGTTGATAACTGAACTGGACAAAATTTTTGAGTTCAATGGTGAATTAGTTGCCCCTACTAAAGAATGGCTAGTTGTTTTCACCGACGATGAGGGCGACATGATGCTTGTTGGAGATGATCCATGGGAGTAAGCACTTGTTTCTGTACCTCTTTATCTGAAAGTTTGTCCTTATACTTCTCTTGTCTCTGCAACTTTTCCTAGATCTTAAGTTTGTCTCTCTGTTACAGGGAATTCTGTGGCATGGTCCGTAAGATCTTTATCTACACTAGGGAAGAGGTAAAGAGGATGGCTCCAAAACCCTTGATTCCTAGAAGTGAGGAGATTTCGCCGAAAGCAGGCCATAAAAAGGATTCTGGAGGAATCTGAAGTTTGCAATAGCGTATGACTGTAGACCCCCGTAGCAAACTTTTGTATTTTGTGAAAAGCCGGAGCCTCCGAATACACCAGCTACGCCTAACATGTGAAATGGGTGCATAAGGATGAGTGTGCGGCCGCTGCTTCTAATGGTTGCTCAGGAAGTTAATTTTTGATAGTTAATACGATCGGTCCTTTATGCTTACTATTCCTTTGCCCGGTGTAAGCTGTAATTATAAGTGTTTATGTAGCCTTTGGCTTCTCCCAGACCAGCATTTTCCTTTTTGCTTGGTATACTATCGTGCCATTTTTATTGATTATATGAGCCAGTCAGTGGAAAGCCATTGTAAATATCCTAAACAGCACCTACTGTACGGCCTGTTATATAATACTGATTGGTATTGGAAAAAGCTTTTAATGCCTTTCGAGTTTTGGGCATCGTTTGCTGGACCATCGACGGGTTATTCAATTTTTTGTTAACAGCGTGCCTTGTATAAATACGAGAGGTTGGTAAATGAAGTGTTTTGACGATATTGTTTAGCGTCCCTACAGCGGGAACTCGCACACATTCTGTAGCAATTCTGGAAGAAAAATTTGCATTGAACGATCAATCTACGCTTTGATTAAGAAAAGTAAAATGCAAGCCCCGGTGAGAAGCGAGTTCTGATGTCTAGCCAGTTGATTGGTTAGTCGAACGAGCCCAGAAAGCTGGTCTTGCTCCGAGCATGCATTCGCTTTCGGGAGCTTTTACTGGGAAGATGCGAGCCCAGATCTCTTGCGCAACTGCTACGTTTGTTGCCCTTGCCAAGTGGCCCCATTGTCCAAAGTGGAATCCAAAGCGTCGAATTAGCTCGAGATTATCTAGATCTACGTACTAAACACATTATGGACTTTGGGTCTTTTGTTTCCTGGGCAGCAGTGTCAGTTGCTGAGGGATTCGTTCTTGGATGTAGAAGATATTCTTGGACGGGTTGGATCAGTGTTCCTCCAGGATCTCCATTCAATCTAATGAACAGTAATATTGGCTTAATGCTTTATTTTGTTCCGTGGCTCCTTCGGAGTCTCGTGTTACTATCTCTGTGGCGTCCGAACAGAAGATGCCAACGCATCACGTTGGAAGAGGCGAACAAATTTGCAGTCCTTTGGTCCCCATGTTTGCACGGGCTTTCGTCTTCGACGTTGTTGTGTAAGAACGTGGACTGACTCTGCTCAGGCCTCTGTCATGTCAAGTCCATTGGTTCGTGGCTTCAGATTCCACGCATCTTTTGTCGTTGATCTGAACCCATCTAAATTTGATGGAATCTTATCCTCTTCTGTCCTCCTTTCGGCTAGAGAAATGGCTTCATTCATTCAGAACCGAAAGTCCATTACAAGGTGAAGAAGACCCATTGGCGGAACTGAAACGATACACGGTCAGAGCGCCAAATTGATTGCACCGACGGGGTCCCACGAAAATGTCCTCGATAGGCAACGTTTAGGATCACATGAATTGCGATTGTTAAGTGGGTGAAAAAAGATGCGCATCTCTTACGCAACTAATGATCATGAATCTGGTGCAGCATTGTTTTTCCAGATGAAACAGAAATGAAGAACTTTGTTACAATTTTCAACGTGAGCTGTCGTGTATGGAGGCTCCACAAGGGATGCATCCAATTCATTGGCTAAGATTACGTCGCCCCCGCGTGATTGACTCCCAACAAGACCATTCAAGGTATCGCCCGAAAAGAATCCCCTTCGAAAGTCATTTTGTTTATTAGCAGCATTGGCATCCGTATCTTTCGGCACGATCAATCCCTGTCGATGCATGTAAACGATCTGGTCCACATCTACTGAGAGTAGGACTCCGTCGGTACGATAACGAGCATGACTAGTCCCATGCTTTGTTTACCCTTCTTCGCTTGCACATTCCACTGCAAAATCACCGCTTGAGCTTCTGCTTATCGAGAAGCACGTTCGGGAATTGCGCTTGTTTATGGCTTTAAGTTTCAATAATTATTCAATTGGCTATCTCAAAGCTCAAACTGCCAAAGTGAGAGGGCGTGTATTGTTATTTGCAAGTAAAGACCAGCCCTTACATTCAAATTATATCAAGTGATTGCACTTACAGTATCTCTTTTGCGGCTTGGCCCATGTGAATTAGGCTGTGTAATGGCATCAAACACGATCATTTCCAATAAATGGGCGACTGAGGAGATCGATTGGGGTCCAACCCGCTGATCAAGGCGCGGAGTGATCATTGGAAAAAACGACTTGGACCAGGATGCGGCTCAAACTTCGAGGATGAACAGAGGGGCATAAATGGACGATTGCCCAAGCGATATGGCCGACGCTAACAAAGAACGTTGGTTCGAGTAGAGGAGTTTGGGACGCTCCAAATCCCACATCCATTTGAGGGAGCATTTGTCGTGTCATTCATAATTAAAGACCTGTCTTTGAAATGGTCATTGCTTTGAGTGGTCACACATGGGTGCTCGTTTTGAGATTTGATCTATACGATTGGGATATGCCCGTTGCAAATAATAACATATCAAGATTTATTGGTGATCTTAATTAACCTTCTTCTTGGCGATTTTTCATCTGCTATTTATTCATAAAACTACTTGGTACCAATTTCGACTTTAAATTTTGTTCATGAAACCGTCCTTTACAAATTCTACATATTCGAATGAATCGTTAAGTAAAAACGATTAACGGAACATTTCTCATTTAATTATATTATTTTTACCACTCTCGTGATATGATGATTCGCTTCGATACAGGATCAATGAATGATTGCATTTCGTTGGCCGAGTTGCTTATAACTCGGGATGAAAGTGTCATCTATCACGTCAAAACCAAACACGATATCCTAATCATTTCATCATCTCCTCCCAACAAGTCCCAGTCGTGGTAACCATCATCACATGGTTCATGCCCATTTCGATTTGCAAAAACCCTAATAGGCTCACCTGTAAATGCACCAGAAAGAGACCCCCCACCCGCCCAATCATGCACCGACAAAGCTCCATGGTGCTATCTGTCCTTTGTTTAATAAAACCCCAGAAGTCCATTAAGAAAGAAGCCGGATTATCTTAGTGGATGCTGCTTAATCTTTTGCTCTTCCTTTTGTCATTATAAGAGAGAGAGAGAGAGAGAGCGAGGCTGGTTGGATAGAAAGGTACAGAGTTTTGAAGTGGTACTCGTACTGTGACAAACTCGTTGGGTTGGTGAGCTGACACGTTGCGAAACACTCGTGGACGGCTGAGAATCTGGGGGATTGTGTTAGTGGCGAAGACAGATGGGTTTAGGTTCAGGGCCACCGTGTCAAACTGTCTCTCTCTCCATGGTATTGGAAGAGGAAGCTTCCTAGAGTTTTTCTTTTGGCGGAGAGACCCGATTAGAATATCTTGGTTTGATGGCCGAAGTTAGCTCCTCTTTCCTCACTCTTTTCAATTAAAATTGCTGTGAGGGAAAGTTTTAGGTGAGAGAATGGTGGATGCCTCTCCCCCTTTTCGAGTTTTGTTGGTGTGCAAATCCAATTTTAAAGGAGATCGAGGGAACTTTGTAAAGGTTTCACTCTCACAAGTGTCGGATCCGTGCTCGTTCAATGTTGTTATTCTGCACGGTGATGATGTTTGGGACGTCGAACGTAGGTAAAGGCATAGCCGTAGCAATAAATAGAGATTTCGGTATGTGCTTATTACTGAAGACGGGTTCGGTGCCGCCGATTTTGGTTTGAAAAAGTCACAAATTTGCTCTTTGAGCGGGTAACCCCTAAATTTGTTTTGATGATTCATCTTGTTCTTTGGAACTTGTTTTATTTTGAAGTTATTTGAAATTTGTCTTAGTTTACAATTGCAATGTGTTGCTTTTCTCTTATATTTCCGTGAAAATGAATGAAATGTTATTTTGACCAAAAAAAAAAGAAGAAATAACGGTGCATTCATGTCGAAGAATATTCAAAGAAACCCTCCGAATTTGGTTGAAAATTCTAAACTAGTTTCGCGCGCGCGCGCACAATCAACATTTTAAGGGTGAGATAGCGAACCGTTGGGTATAAAAATATAGGTTGAAAACTCTTGTTAACAATCACAGCGGTTTTTTCGTTGTGGTACAAAAGTGTCGGCAAATATATTTGGCTCCTATAGTAAAAGATATGATATTCGAGAATAAAGGGGAAGAAAGGGAAATAACTTTATCTCGTAGATGGAGCCCTAACAAAAGGATAATTTATAACCTACTTAAGTTTAAGGATCCAAAGGGATCCCTACACGGAAACTTCTGACGTGACTTTTTTTAGTCTAGTTAGCGGTTTTATATAGGGCCAGCTACTTTCTTTATCTCGCTTGCCATTAGTCCGTCTAGCGCCTTTCGGTTAGGGTCGGCCCCGGGAATTAGACCGCTTGGGTTATATTTGATTTTATAGTCTCTAAGGCAGCCAAGCGTGAAAAATGAGACAAAACGTTGGTTATGCCGAGGAAAAAAGGTGGTTGTGACAGCCGTAGGGATAACTTCGAAAAGTCAAAAGTAAGACAAATGACGTTCGTCACTTAAATGTGTTGATATTTCACTACTTTGCTTTGTTCGGAGGAGAGAGAGCTTACCATTTATTTAGGTTTTGCTCAAAATTGAAGTGTGAAATTCAAGTGGTAATTTTCAATAAAGGATCTGAAATAAAAAATTTTCCGACATAAAGCCGTGCCTCCTACTCTATTATCGCGAAGAATTTCATGGGATCTCGACAAGCTAATTCCAAGAGTTTACGCTCCGACTGAACTTTACTTTTTGTAAATCTTTATGGAAAGCGAAATCGGTCACGAAAAGGCCAGTAGATACGTAGAATACCATTTTCCAGAGCGAACTATTGAGCTCGCTTGATAAGAATGCATCGATTTCTTGATGCGGGATTGGCTTAATTTAGCAAAACGCGTTACTCTTAAATCGGGATAAAGGAAAAAAAAACGAAAAGGATAATGGTGGAGTTGCAATGAGGGGGGTGTGCGTGAAACCGACTGGCTGTCCAATAAAGGACTTTTGTTTGGGGTTCACTTTGCCCGAAAAGAGACGACCTTTTCGTTTGTCTTCTAGTGGATAAAGCACGCAAACGCGTCGGGTCGAGAAGTGGTCTTAAGCCCTAATCACAGTCTTTGAACCATAATCCTATTTTATCCAACGCTTAGAATTTGATTACGTCATTGGCGACTATATAGTGTAATTTAAAACAAGAATGGAGAGCATTGTCGTGTTTTTTGATTGGCGAAGTTGCCGGGTCCCACCTTCTTGGATTTCGTGGCCGGTAATTGTTGTGGGGGAGAGCCATCAACTTTCGCATCCTATATATAATTTTGCCCTCGAATTTTTAAATGCGGACTTTTCACGCGAAAGACAATTTTGATTCAAATTACTGACTTTGTTTTTGTTAGAATTTCCGTCAAAATGTATCCGGTGTCCGAAATGGCAAAAGGACACCGACATGATTAAAGCAAGTGCAAGTGCAAGTGCAAGTACTGTATCAGTAGACGTGACTTTCATAAGCACTTAAGATGATATTATCTGCCACACATAATAAAAATAACGTCGTTTCCAATTGAATCGAGAATAATTTGTAGTCCCATCAACAACATTACTCCCATTGAGTAAGCAGACTATGCTGCTTTTGAGCCGATTAATGGAATTTCAAATGTGTGGGGAGGGGGGATTTGTTGAATTTGCTATGAATTTGTGGAGAACCCCAAGCCTCGATTTGTGTAACCTTCATTCTTAATCTGATTTAACCTCTAATATTTGGCTCGGAAATGACGTTGTTTTGATTATTTATGAAAGCCACGTCCGCTGACATGACACTCATCATTTGTCATGCTACCATCTCCTTGCCACTTTAGATGCCACATACACGTTTGGACAGAAGTGCCAATGATGGACAAAATTGTGCCGCGGGTGAAAATTGATATTTCTTTTTTGTGTGACACTTGAAAGTCGAGACCGAATGAAGTTGGTGCCCCTTAAAAATTGAGTTCAAAGTATTCCTCTTTGGTGCCTTTGTTTGTGGAAAATCCTTGGCCAGTAGTTTGATGCATTGAATTGGCAGTTGCTATCTTATCCTATTTGAGCATATCTTCATAAGGATCGTTGGTGGAAACTCTCACAATAGCCCACATGACGGCGAGTTCAGACTAAGATTACTCCGAACGAAAAACATAGAATAGAGTAGGAATCCTACGACTCGTACTTGAGTCCTAAAACCTAACTTGTAACAACTGTCCACTTTAATCCTACCGTTAACTCCGTTAGGTTTTAGTGGATAGAAGTGGAGGTGACATTTGTTTATTAGTCATCCCATATTTTCAACGTGACATTTTCCGTTTACTTAAAACTAAAGGAGATGCTCAATTACACCGAACGTGCAAGTTTTAGGATTTAAATATGAAAGTTTAAAGACTCCTCCGAAGCACAGTCGTGACAAGTTGTATGATCCGTTACCTAATTGTCCCTTCTTCAAACACGTGATTTACGGTAATCATGCTAAGCATTGACTACTCGGCCAAAAAAAAGGTTGTTCCGCGTACTTTTGAGTTAACTAATAAATGGAGTTTCTTTTTAGTATAATATGATCAAATTGCCTTCGAGCGGAAGCAATCGTCCAAGTACTATGAAAGTGAGGGAGAGACTGTTCAAAATCTGCAATCCTATCGATGTTTGCGTCATCAATCTTAAAGTTCGCCTAATGGGGTCCTGAACTGAACAAGGGAAGTCGAGGGGAAATAAACAGGTATAAACCGGGGAGACAGAGCAAGCAAGTGGCCTTCTGTTTTGAGCTTTTTTAAGTTTTTCCTGAAGCGGTTTTGCTTTCTCTGTCGATGGTATTTGGTACTTGCGCTAGTAGTTCTTTCGGTTGGCGCCAAATGAGTAACCCATGGTATGCCACCCGGATAAGAGATGAACACTCCCCCATTCACCTCTCCTCTGCCTGCTCTCGGTTTTTACATACCCTTCTTCCAACTCGCTCTCCCCACCTTAAAGCTCTCGCCTTTAGCCTCAAAGGCACAATTTTTACTTGAATTCTCTTCTGGGCTTTCGTCATTTGAAGGTATGAACTTAGTACTCTTCTTCTTCTTCGAAGGCAACAACTTGGGTCTTCATCGCTCAGACCTGGGGTTTCGTCAATTCAGGGATTCTTTTAATGTTTGTGTCCTTTGGCACTTGATTTGTTGGTTCTTTAGTAGGCTGCGCAATCAATCATGTCTTGCTCGTTTCGGGTGTGTTCTTCCTTGTCGCACCTCTTCGTTTTGAATGCTTCTGCTCGTGTTCTTTGCTGTATTTCCTTGCTTTTTATGCAATGTGGAAACCAATCCGTTGAGAAAATATTTAGATTTGGGCAGGAACTTGTTGCTTAAGCCCATGCAGCTTTTAAATAGCCCCCAAAGTTGACTTCTTGATAAATCAATCTCGGTTAAAATTTTTCTTGTTTTTTTTTTTTGAAAATTTTCTTCTGCTAAGTTCTTCAATTGCGTTTGTTGATTGGCACAGCGCGAAGAGAAATGGCAAGTACTGGCATTATCTTGTGCCTAATGATTCAGAAGAAGTATTTCTGCACATGGAGCTGTTTAGGGAATTGTTTTTTTATGACAACTTGCGCATGTGTGCCCGTATAGTTGAAAATTCTTATTTTGCTTTTAGAACAGCAGAAATCACTTTCATAGTGGTGGTCACACATGTTCATGGAATGCTACCATCTTACTATTAGGATTAGGCGCACAAACACAACGAAATAGAGAGTAAAGGCAAGAAAGAGAAACCGAGACACAAGATTTTATCCCAGTTAACTATTAAATTAGGCTACATCCAGCAAAGGATTCCACTATAATTAGCACCTTCTACCTCTTTGTTATAACTCTCAATTGCAAGAGAAATAGATTATAGACAGGTAGCACAGTAGCTATTAATGGGCCCAAACTCAAACTACTAATAAAATACATGCCAAACTATAAGAGCTCTCTGGCGGCTTGGGAGCACTGCTCCTGCGACCCCCACCGGGGCAGCCCCTCGGACCTCCATCCGCTCACCGGGTGTGGGACCCCCGTGCCTTCCTGTTGATGGAGAGTATGAACCACACCCCAAGACTCACATGTCAAATTGCTAACTTGCTATCTTTAGCCAATTTATAACTCCAATATTTTGTCCTCCATGATTTGTTCTTTTGCATTTACAGGGCGATCTCACCAGCATCTTTGTAGAGAATTGTTCTTCCTTTTTCTGGGGAAGGATACTATATGAATCAGATAGTTCCAGTCACTTAAAATTTGGCATTGTCTTTTTAAGAGAGGTCCCCCTTCATATTTTCTTGTCACATTAAACATAGCCCCTTGTTATCTTTCTTGAAGCTAGTTTCATCAAGCCTGTAACAAATAAATGGAACTTAGTGATCCAAGAAGATCACGAGGCTATGGCAAGCCCCCGTGGAAATTCGCAGGCAGGTAAGTTCAGTGCACTTTCTTTTTGGTTTGTTGTAATTTGACGTTCAAATTTGATCTTCTTAAAGCATATCTTTTTTTCCAATCAGTGCCCTGTATCAGCTTCACCTTGTGAAAGCAGAAACAGCTCGAGCGTTCATTCCGAAAGAGTTCAGATTAGTTGAAGCTTTTGGGTATTCATCAGTTCCCCTACTTTTCTGAATCAAGAAGTGACAAGTGTGCACTTATAGCACCGTCTTCTTCTTTGCATGTTAATGTGAGTTTGTTACTTTTGTAGATATACACTGGGTGGATTCTTTTTGGCCAGTTATGATGACAGTCCAGCTGGGGTCTTTGATGAGGTTGCGTAGTTGATAATTGCTTTGTGAAGTCTTAATAGTGTGCCTTTCATCAATGAAGGCGGCAACTTCGTGCCGAGAACGTACCATCTCGAAGCTCAAACTGCAAAAGTTTGTCTTAAAAAATTTAAAGGGAAAAAAGGAAAAAAAGTTCCGAAGATAAAGTGATATTTTCGGAGTTTTGATGTTCCATTAGCAATTTTTTCGGAGTTTAAATGTTCCATTAACATTTAAACTGTATATTGTCCCAGCTTGTGGTGATTGCAGGAATTGTATGGAACCCACCAACATCTTGCGCGTAAGTTTCCTGCTATCTCTTTTGCGTTGTGTGCATTAGGCTGTTGATTTCTCCATGAGACTGTCCAATGCTTTCCTCATGCAATAGTTGGAAACACGCCATTTGGAAATGATTTAAAAGCTGGGGGCCATCCCGGTTTGCACAATAGAAGTCTACAATAGCAACTAAGCACTTGAAACTATGTTCTTTTGAAGCCAGAATTTGTACTATAGTCAGTGTCAAATTGTCACTTGTTTTCAGTATAATTGGAAAGAACCACTTACTAACTGCACAAAATCACATGAGCTAGTCTGTATTTTTCTGCAAGTGGACTAGACAACATGTCAATTTTTAACATTTTGCTTTGAGTTCATGTAATGAGAATGACCAGTGGGCTACTCTATATTTTTCTGCAAGTGGACTAACCAACATGTCAATTTTTTACATCTTGCTTGGAGTTCATGTGATGAGAATAACCAGCCTGTCAATTAGCCAAAAGAAACTGCAATTTTTAGTGTGGTTTTATTTGTTCCATCATGTTGGTGACTGAGCCATTTTGTGACTATTTTGTGATAATAAACTCTTTTAATGAATGCTGCATCATTTTGTTATTTGCACTTGTTTGATAACTGCCTTCATAATTCAAGGTTTTCTTTTAGCATTTAGGTTGTCAATAATGTAATGGAGGTTTAAAATTCTTAAACAGGTGGGCTGCTAAGGTGCTTGTTAACAGTGATGAGGCTTGTGATCATGGACGGAAGGTGGAAACTTGAGCTGGACTGCCTACTAATGTGGAATTATATATGTTTTGACCTGTAAATCTTTTTTGGGATAGCTTTTCCACTCTATAGATGTTTAATTAAAGTTGCTTTCCTTTCTCTAAGTAGGAGTTTTTCATGTTGAAAGCTTTCAGATAATCATATCTTGTTTGGTGATAGCCAAATTAGAAAAAGCCATAATCAATATTAGCATTGCTATAGCTCTACTTTAGTGATTCTTCGTGAGTTTCCAGCACACCGCTAGCAGAAAGCCATACCTGTGTGCATGGTATTGACTTTGAAGAGCTTTTGCACCTCATCGTGGAAATGTTGCTGAAGTGTTTGTTGTGATTGTGAACTAGTAACGCTATTTTAACTCTATGGAGAAGTTGATATCAAGCTTACCTTCTCTTTGTCAGGATGTTGGGCTTCCAAGTCAGGTTGCCAGGTTTTCAAAAGTAAGCTCAGGCTATATTTTTTGTTTGCTACTGTTTAGTATCAACATATGATTAACGTGTTGCATTTCCATGTATATAGAATTTCAAACTCTATATTCTATGCACATAAATGCTATAATCTATACAGATCTGTTGGTTTGCCATGTATTCGTGTTGAGAAACACAATGTATTCCGAATTTATTGAGCTGCTGAGATTGACATATCTCACCACATGGCCACAGTGGCTGGCTGCTGGTCGAAACACTTCAAATGAGGAAATATTCTCATGGAACGCGAGCATTGAATGTGACCTATTTACTTTGAAGGTGTGAAATAAGATTAAGATTGTGCAGCCCTAGGAGTATCCTATAAAACCCAAGATTGTCCAAGAATTTGTTTTGCCATGACCGTTTAGTACTTAAATTTCGCCGTTTTCTTTCCTTATCTATTTACTTCATTAGTTTTCTCATCCATATTATTGTTGGCTTGCTTGTTTTGCTGCTGTAAGTGTTATTTATGTTGTGAAGTACTTGATGCTTACTTGAAAAACTATGAACATGTCTGAGTACGTGAGGTTTTTCAGAGGATTACTCCAGTCTTAAGGCGACCGGAGAACCGAAGGAATGGGTTTCTAAATATGCTCGGTGTTGGTGCTTATAGTCTGAAGGACCAGATGGATGTTCAAGTGTCTGAAATTAAGGATCATTCAGCATTGGATGTTTGTAGGATCAGTCTCACAACTATAGGTACATTTTGGCGAGTGAATTCTTTAATTCTTTTTGATACAATCGAAATCGATTTTGGGGACTTTCCAGCCATTTGGTACTCTAAATGTATCAGTGTCAAGTAGTTGATTCAGCCAATCTTCAGTGACTTTTTTCAACTCTACCTTTTCTTATCTTGCATTGAATGGACACTCCTGCTGATTTATATAAGCCTTAGTCAGACATCTTGGTGGAAACAAATAGTGGAAGCCTAACCATCTACCTTTGTTTCTCTAATGATTATTGCAAAATCTTTCACATAATACTTCTAGCTTGGAAAATTTTTTGGGTGGAGTGGGTGCGTGCACCTTGGATCCATATGATCTGAATCGATGAATCAGTGCGTTCACATGTGAAGAAGCAGGTGGACCCCACTGGATTGAATGGCTCGGATGTATATAGGGTGCACACACTCTGTCCACCCAGTAATAGCATATTGCATATCAACTGTTTGCAGCCTCTCTGCTTTTAAAGGGATGTTTCTGTAATGACTTACCTTAGCTACCGTGTAATGCTCCAGAATAGAACGGCGGCTATGCTAAAAGGTGATATTGAATCATCACTCTAGTCTTATTACATGGGGTTATTGAGGAATTTAATCTTTGTCCGATTTTTCGGCACCTGTCTTATATTTGACGATAGTTCCTTCCTAGTCCATGAGATGGTTAGCTAAGCGAACTTGCTTGGATTCTGTTTTTAATTTGAGGCAGTGATAGTTCCTCTTTCCATCATCCTCATAACTGACATGCATATCTTGCTCAGCATAACCTTTTCCATCAAATACTACCGAGTTATATTCTTGTTAGATTTATGCTTTCATGTAGCAATACGCAATGGGTTTGAGCCCTTCACGTTCTGTTGGTACTGGGGTAAATTGCTCTGCCTCTCAGCATTGAACTCGGTCCCTTTTAGGGAATAGGTTCATGATTTAGTACCTCAAGAAATTAACTATTCTGTGTGGCATTACCTGTATATATTTTATCTTTGTTCTTCTATCTCGTTTAAATGCCATCTGAACTGTGAGATTTGTAATGAAGCGCCTGCGTTGAAGGTGGACAAGTGGAGCAGCCCAGTAATCAGAATGTCGCTTCCTAGTTTCAGGTGACGCCTTTCAACGAGAGTGATCCCTAATCGAACTTCATGCTGCTGATCATCAGATTGTCTTGTGAATTGCAGTGGTCGCACAGAGTACAATCCCAACCTCCTCAAATATTCCTGCCAGATCGAATGCAGGTTGTTCTTTTCATTGCTTTAGCGTGTTTTGGCTACTCGCTATAGCTCCAATATAAGGGAAATTACGTGAGGGCTTGAAACTTGAGAAGGGCTTAAAACTTGAGATTGTGATAGTTTGCGTCTGCTACTAAATTACTTCCTGAGGTTTAGAAGCAGAGCCATGCTTTTAGGTTTCTCTTGAATATCCTATTGTATCAGACGGCGCGAAAGATTTATGAAAACGGTGTTAGAATCTTTGCCTGTTTACTTTTTGTGGGAATACAAGTCTATGGCTGTCCCAAAACATCAGAAAGTTGTTTTTTCCCCTCCCATCCCCTCCCCTTTCTCTCTCTTTTTTTTTTGTTGTGGCGGGGGGGTCGGTTCTCCCCTTTATCTTCAAACATGGAGATTTTACTAATAAATTCCAGTTTGGGAAAAAGTTTGTGTGATTGAAGGACTTGCTGCTTTTACTTCTAACAGTGGCATACCATTGTCAGATATGGTCTCTGATTCATATGTTCTGGTTTTAGGGTGCGACTGGTATGTCCAGCTCAAGTGTCAAGGCTGTCTCATGCTTTAAGAGACGACAATGACCAAAATTCACGATCCCGAGGTTCCGATCCACTGGACTTGACGAGTGAGGAATTCATGGCTAATGGGCAAGATCCCAGTGTATCGGTTATGTTATCGAAGCCCATACTAGCTTTGGAGTTCAGAAGCCTGAAAATGCAAGTGGAAGCTCCCATTCTAGTGGCCCGGTGAGCCGAGAAGATTGTTTAGGCTATGCTTGAGTTTTGTTCTCTGTAGACAGTTCATATATGGTTCGGCTAAAATGTCTTGTACAGCGTCTTGCTCATAATTTTCTTCCTGTTGCTGATAAGAGCTATAGCACTCGAATTGTCTTCACCCGTTTGGACCTGCATTTTAAAAATGAATATATAAAAGCTATTTCCGTGTGAAACTTCGAGACCTCATCTGACTCTGTATATAGGTTATATGAACACTCATCTAACCATTTTCATTCGAGTCAAGTTCGCCATTCAATCCGAGATTTTATCTCTGGAATTGTCTTCACCTGTTTTGGAACTACATTTGCCGTGTGGAAAAATGAGAAGGCATTTGCGTATGAATTTTTGAGACCTCGTTGTACTCGTATACAGGTCATTTGAACACTCATCTAGACTTTTCATTCAAATCAAGTTTGCCATTCATTCTGAGAATTCATCAGTCTTCTACTCTTAAATGATTTGATCAGCTTCCTGTGTTATCGAGTCTGAGGAACAGAGACAAGTGTCCGGTTCTTAAGTAAATTTTTCTGCAATTCTATGTGCATGAAAGCATGTATCCATGAGTCTAATCTGATCATTACCAGTTCCATACCAAAGTACATCTCAGTTGGTACTTCAATGATCATATCATCGATCGCATAAGTTCCGCACTCGAATAAATTATGAACAACGGATTGTCTTCATCAGCAGAGGATATCTTGACTTGCTCAGTTCTCATCCTCCTTTATTCATGCAGTTACTAACGTACAGAATGAGAGAACAAATTTTCTTTCATTTCGATTCTCATATATCTTCTATTTCTTTCCTTCTCAATAGATTTACAGACTTTTACAATTCATGGGGTGGACAAGCCAGAGCTACAAACAAAAAACCAATTAAATTTTCCATTCTCATGCGGCAAACAACAGCAATTTCTTGCATTCAAACTTTGTTCACACTCTCAGGTTCATTTTCTAAATCTGATCACTAGATCAGAACGCTTCCGGTAGAGGCTGCCCTTCCAAGAAGGATTTGAAGAGGACAAGCGATCTCTCAGGCTGTGAGAATGGCGCTTCGTGCGATGCTCCTCTGATGGTGGCAAAGGAAAGGACATTGCCATAAACTTGAGTCCACCCACCAACCTAAAGTTCATCAGATGATTTAATATTCATCGATCACTTCCTGATTCTTTAGGCGAAATAAAAGAGGTTTTCATAAGTTCCTCAATCACAGAAATGAAAGGAAAATTCACCTGCTGGCCCTCGAACCACACTCTGTAAGGAATGGTGGTGTTCAGGCCTAATTCCTCTGCCAACCCATGGACGAGTCTTCGACTTCCAGTTAGCGGTACTACAGAATCTTGGTCTCCACTGTATCATGAGCATGAAAATTATTAGAGTTGCTTATTTCTGAAGAGCACACAAAGTATGTATCCAATCGTGTTGGTCAGTAATTTTGACAAATAATAAGAAATTTTACCTGTAAACTAGAACAGGAATTCCAGCCTTTACTAGTTTGCCTAGGATAGTGATTGTTGGTATTTCCATGTTTGTCCAATCATAATCAAGAACACTGCATTTTGAGAAATTAGAAAAAGCAAGAGTTAATAGAGAGTAGTTAAAAAGTTATGATCAGTTAGAAGACAAGAAAAACTATATTTAGCATCTGAGAAGAACATTACTCGCTGCAAACAGCCCATTTGCGAACTCCTACAAGCCGTGCATGGAGGGCTTTCTGCACGTCTCGTCTATTGAGATAATTAACCGTCTCATCTTCCACGCACACATCTACAGTTTCAGTAACGCGCTGCGAAACGAAGATGCCGTAACTCAAGTGAGAGTTTTAGACAAATTGAAGCCAAGATACAGGGACACAGTTTTTAAACGGGGCAAATCTGTGTTTAATATACTAACTCACCTGAGGACTAAGACGTCTAGATTGTGACATTACAGATGCTATACAAACATCGAGTATAACATCGTAGTTGTCGACGAACTTGCTTGTTTCTTTGCTAACTTGGCTCATCACCCACGAGCAAATAGGTGAAACGGAACCTTGGGCGTATTCACTCACATACCTCGAGTAATTGCAGATGGAAGTGAACATTTTATATGTCGTATCTGAAATCAATCCGTGTGACCAAAAGAACTCGGCCCTCGAGTTGAAGTCCGTAGCAAATTCAAGAACCGGATTACCTAGCTGTGATAGAATTTTGAAAACCATAAATTTTTGGGGAGATCAGCGATGCCTCAAGCATCATGCTCAAACCTCCAATTAGGCTGAAAACTGAAAAGTATGTGATGAGTGATACTCACAGCAATGCCTTTTAGATTGAACATCTTCTCATTCCTGTTGATTTGAAGGATGAGCTCTGCCAGTTGGGGAACATAGTGACCTAATTTTCATATAGCAAATAGATGCTTAGGCTCAGTGTCAACTCATTGGGTCATGTCTGAATGACCTTAGGATAGTCACAGTGGAAAAACGATCTACCTGCGTAGCTCTCCCCAGTAATGAACAAGTTACTGTATTTGTATTGTGGGAATTTGACAAACCATCTTTGCAAGAACGCCAGATTGTCCCTCGCTATAGACAAAGATTGAAGAAGTTTCAGAAAAGAAAGGAAGTCTCTGAAAAAGTTTCAAGCTTGTGTCAACTCAAAAAGAAGAGACAAAAAGAGAACAGTGAAACTTTAAACATCGTATAAGAGTAAAGGTTAGACACTCTACATAGTGCTGCGCCATCAAGAAAGATTCTTTAGAACTCTCGGGTGCAAAAAGAACCCAAGAAGGATTTTACACGAAGAATAACACCCCGTGAATTGGAAGATGAAAAAGTGGGAAAGAACCAGAGAGACCCAGTTCACTTTCTCTTTTTTTCCAGATCACCAACTGTTCTGTTCAAAATGTTGAATTTTCTCAACCAACGTGGAATTCGATAAGGTTTGAACGTTTTGCAGATCAAGAAAGAAGACATTCTAGTCTTTTGCTTAGTTTTCCTTTTTTCTTTTCTATGACAAGGGATAGAGGTATAAAGCAAGTGAACATGCCAGTGATCTTGTCATTGACAGCTTCATAAGAGGAGGTATCGGTTGAATAAGAGAACCCAACTCCAATCGGCGCTTCCAAGTACAGCATGTTCGCTTCTGCATTTCAAGAACAAGCAAATATGCGAATTTTTTGAGCTCCCCGCCAGGCGAAAAAGAAAGCCGAGAAAACTGTTCCATCTTTGCAGTTTGCATGAACTATTTCGTACCTCTGTTCCAGCTGTACTCATTCCTGACAAGCACATCTCCACTAGGCCTAAACGGTCCATTCTCAGAAAACGCTCCAACTCCAAGAGAAGAGCAACCGGGCCCTGAAAATTGCACAAAGAAAACACTAATCCAGATCAGAGAACGCTGGTGGTGATTTTACTAACATCATAATCGTGCACTACTCGTCGGGAATGAGTTCGAGGAGACCTCCATTGAGCCAAAGGACAAGAGGCTTCGAAGCTGGGTCCAGCTCTGCTTCCGCGAAGTAGTAAAACAGAGCCCTCTGTTTCTGCTCGTCAACGGTCACATAGCCCGAGTACTGCCGGAACCCGACAGGAGGCTGACCCGGCAACTGGGCGATGCTGTCCAACATAGCGAGAGATGATTCCACCGCCGGGGCACGAGACAGGAGGTGGAGCAACGAAACAGCCATTGACATGGCAACCCATTTCGACGATGGAGGCATTGTGCAATGTTCTTGCTTGAGCACTACTCACTGAGACAGAGAGAGAGTGAGAGAGAGAGAAGAGACCCAGTGCGAGACGAAGCAGAGAGGCAGCTTATAAAGATGGTGTCTGTGTTTTTGCTGTCAAAAGAAATGAACTTTTTGATGGGAAGGGAGAAAAACAAAAGATAATTTGAGCTTTTGTTTGCTGCAGAGACAGAGAGAGAGAGAGAGAGAGAGCAGAAGGCTTGGAGCTGAAAGTGATGCGGGAGGCCCACGTGACAAGTGGACCATGCCTTGCTCGAGTCTTGCGAGTTGGGTTTTTCCCTTCTCAGTAAATATTAATTCACAAAAAGATTATTTTCACTCTGATTAATTATTAAAAATAACGGGTGATCGCTTCCGCCTCCTCACGTCGCTTTATAAATCAATTTTGTATAAAAGCAGTATATACCTAGGATCGGTCTACATCCACTATTATCATCAATCATGTCGAGATATTATATATTTGGCTAAACGAAATCGTATTCTATAATTAAACAACTGTTGTATAAATAAAATGCAATCTTCGTCGTAACATTATTGATTCAACATATTACGTAAAATGTACGACCGATCATATGGGATTTACACATTGGATGATATCCTCTCCTCTAGTTTGTATGGTTGTGCCAATTGACTTTCACTGTTATAACGACTAATCTGGCAAATATTGAGTTTGTACACTTATTTATGTAAGTTAATCTCTCGTGGTGGAAGGTCATGGACTTGTCGAGCGTTGCATGCTACTCAACTTCTACACCGAAGTATGGTGTAATATCATGTATCATGATCTAGATCCAAAACGAAGTAAAGGAATATCAAGATCGTGACTATACAACTCACTAATCAATGCGTGTTACTTCAAACAAAACGGGATTTCTCTATAAAAGTACTGGAGCTTTGTAATTTTTAAAATCAGCTTCAATCATGATGTGACAAATTATAATCCAATACTCCTATATGAGTCATTTATTAAAGTACCTATCTACGATTTATAACGTCATTCAAGGGGGCAATTATCTGAATCATATTCTATCTCTTTATAATGATACACCGCTGTTTACACCAAAAAGTGAAAAAAATCATGGAAATAGGCATCGGGAGCTTTGGCGTCGGTAACTTACCGATAATTCGTAACTTACCGATAGTGGGTGAGCAGAGGATCGGCATCAGCAACTTACCGATAGTTAGATGTCAATAACAAAACTGCTTATGGATAAGGGTAGTTATTTGAACGTGGAGAGTGCCTAGAAAATAGGAAGATAATAACCATCGTTAGGAAGTTACTTTTTATTTAAAATTTAAAAGTTGTAAATGCTTGTACGAGATTATAAATATCCCAAGTTTGTATTTTAAAGACCCCCCAAAATCAACAACAGAACTCACGTTTTTTATCAGTTTATCTTTCTTTTATCTTTACATTTCCTGCACTCGTATCTTTACATTTGGCCAAGGCCATTATTTTCCTGCAATTTACAAGCTTTAATTCTTTAGGAGTAGTTCTAATGCTCAGATTCACGTCGCCGAGTCGTCCTCCGATATGAATCTTCATCCTTGGTGCTTCGTCGTCGAGTCAAATCCCGACGTAGTACCGCCGCTCTTTCAAGCTTCGTCCTCGAGTCAAATTCCGTCGAAGTTTGTTTCGATAGTACTTCCTAAACTTTTCCGTCGAGTCAAACTCCGGTTTGGTTTAGGTTTGTACAATTCCACGTTGATTTTTATGATCGCTTGGATATTTCCTGTTAAATCACCACAGAACCCGTCCTTTAATTAAAAGCCGAAGATCCATTTTCGGTGTTTGTTTCCTTACGGATTAAATTACGGAGAAACAAATTGGCACGCCCGGTGGGACGAATGTGGCTGATTCGAGGAAATATGAAGGTACGTACTCAACTTGATCCTGACCATCCTGGTGGTGTTCTGGGTTATCATCTGCATAATTGGTGGGACAAGTAATGAGAAGGAGGTGTCAACATCCCGAAGTAATTACCGATGAGCAGAGAAAACAGTTGGAGACGAAAATTCGATCGTAATGGCTTCTATAAGGAGGATACAGAATTGGCCCAACCAACAAATGAGACTCCACAAATTGCAGCAGCAGATGATGTTGAGTCAAGTTCTACACCTTCTATGTTCGTGAATTCAAAACCGATGCGAAAGGATCAGGGGGCAGGATGGTCAACAACTTGTATGCTCTTCAAATGACAAAATATGAGGATTCGGCTTTTGTCAAGTAGCAGAAAAGTTACCGATGCCAGGGGGCAGATTCAGCTTCTATTAAGTAGCAGAAGAGTTACGGGGCACCTAAAGGCCATTAGTTAAAAGAATCGAATGATTGGTAAATCATTCAATTCTTTTAAGAGGGCATCTGTTTACACCAAAAAGTGAAAAAAAAATCATGAAAATAGGCATCGGGAGCTTTGGCGTCGGTAACTTACCGATAGTTCGCAACTTACCGATAGTGGGTGAGCAGAGGATCGGCATCAGCAACTTACTGATAGTTAGATGTCAATAACAAAACTGCTTATGGATAATGGTGATTATTTGAACGTGGAGAGTGCCTAGAAAATAGGAAGATAATAACCACCGTTAGGAAGTTACTTTTTATTTAAAATTTAAAAGTTGTAAACGCTTGTACGAGATTATAAATATCCCAAGTTTGTATTTTAAAGACCCCCCAAAATCAACAACAGAACTCACGTTCTTTATCAGTTTACCTTTCTTTTATCTTTACATTTCCTGCACTCGTACCTTTACATTTGGCCAAGGCCATTATTTTCCTGCAATTTACAAGTTTTAATTCTTTAGGAGTAGTTCCAATGCTCAGTTCACGTCGCCGAGTCGTCCTCCGATATGAATCTTCATCCTTGGTGCTTCGTCGTTGAGTCAAATCCCGGCGTAGTACCGCCGCTCTTTCAAGCTTCGTCCTCTAGTCAAATTCCGTCGAAGTTTGTTTCGATAGTACTTCCTAAACTTTTCCGTCGAGTCAAACTCCGGTTTGGTTTACGTTTGTATAATTCCACGTTGATTTTTATGATCACTTGGATATTTCCTGTTAAATCACCACAGAACCCGTCCTTCAATTAAAAGCCGAAGATCCATTTTCGGTATTTGTTTCCTTACGGATTAAATTACGGAGAAACAACCGCCATTGCTAATGAAGTAGCCGACGCCATGCCATGTTCCCGCGAATTTGTTCCGATCGAGTCTATTATCAAGAGGAGATAACATACATACAAATCAACATGTCAAGTTCAAACATTGGAGCAGTCCAGCACCCTCAAGATCGTTCCTTGCCGAGAGGGAAGAAGTAGAACAATGCAAGAAAGCGAAAGGAGAGGATGAGTTTCAAAATTCTGACCTGGTCACGGAAGCTGCAGACCTTTTATTACTTTCTTGTTTGTTTTAGAAAAAGCATTTGAGCCAAAAACCCAAAAAAGAAAAAGAAAAGAAAGGCAAGTGTGAAAGGATAGAACACGAATGTGAAGCCAAGTCTCGAATTTCGATGGAAAAGAAAGGGACTTTACAGGATTTCAACTTTGTTTTTTTTTAACACCATTTGGTCTCGTGAAAACCTGAAACTCGGAACCGGTGACATTATGTGCGCCAAGAAAAATTTTCAATCTGATTATAAAACAGTGAAAAGTCGTGGTGGAATGATGATCCCCTGCGAGCACCATGTCGGCTTCAAGAATAAAAATGTTTATATGCTCTCTTTTTGGTTTTCCCATGAAAATGCTCGAGTACGTGCCATTCCAAGTACAAACCCACATCCCATTGATCCCATTCTTCAGCATTCTCTTCAGGGTTTTGTATAGATTGGGTTCCATTTGATAGTTGACTATGATTGTATCCCATGATATTCCATGGTAATCGAATGAAGTGAACCATCCCAATTAGGGTTTATATTGCTCATATCGCACGAGATGTATTTGGTTTTTGTGGAGCGGGTTTTTGACGTGTCAATGCGGAATGATTTATTCAATCAAGTATCTTTACATGCTGCAGTTTTCTTATAGATTATAAAACGGGGAATGTTTAGTTGAGCAAGCAAAGCAATTGGTGCATCGAGTGATTTACGTATGTTATACACGAGTTTCTCATTTGCTGTTCCTTTTTCAATAAAGATTGTTCTTTCTACCTTCTCGATAAGTCGATTTGGGAGCTGCTTGTCTCTTCTTTTGGTACTGTATCATGATCTCCTATGGCTAGAGTCCGAAAGACCAGTCTTCAACTGGCGTCCCTGAAGCTCCGGATCTAATCCATGCCTTAACAATTGATTTCAATCTTCATCTGGTCCACGCTTCTGATCAGGCTGAATCATTCCCTGTGAAGTTCTATCATTGTACGAGTGCTCATCCTTAGGACATTGGAGAGGGGTAGTAGTGCTGACCCCATTGACCAAGGCAATGAAAGGGCAAGAAGTTCACGTGAAGCTTTCTCCTGAATCTTGGCATGGAAGTAAAGCTTGCCTTTTCATTTTCCGTGAAGATATGTATCTTGACCAAATTACTCCTTTGTTATACTATAGTTTACTTTATTAGTGCACAAATTCAGAAGCAAGACAACTTTCTTTGCTGATAATGCCATTTTTTCTCATTGCACTTTGTCTGCCCTGAAAAGTGTAATGCGCGTTTATACCCCACAAGGCCACAACATGCCTTTGTTTGACTCTCAATATCAATCCACTAACATCACTTTCCGACCGTAATTAATCCGATAAGATGAAAGTAACATCAGAATGCCATAGAGTCTTGCTCCGTCATTCAAAAAGAAGAAGGCACAAAGAATGTGCAAAGTCAAGTATCTAGAGATGTTTGCTCATTCTTGTCGGAGTATTTTAGGGTTGGTTATTGACCAACATGAAAGATTGAAGCCAAATCAATCTCTGATACCTCTCGCCACAAGATATTGTTCTTTGACAAAGGACACAAGCGAATCATAAGGGCTTTGACTAAAGAAAATGGAGGAGCCAAGGGATGTGGCACGTTATACAAAATATTCGAAAGAAAACGATCACTGTGCGGTGTAGCTGAATAAGGCAGACAGAGAGGGAGTCTCAAGGATTTAGCAGCTCGGGAATTTTTGGGATTGGAAGAGTGCTTGAGGCAATGTGAAAG